TGATAATAATATACATGAAAAACATAAATGAAGCTAGTCGGTAGTGGCACATGCCTTTAATCACAGCCCCTGGGAAGCAGAGGCAGGCAGATCTCTGAGTTGAAGCCCAATCTTGTCTACAGAGTGAGTTCCAGGATAGGCAGGGCTACACAGAGAAACCCTGTCTCAAAAAACAAAACAAACCAAAACAGTAAATATGTAAATGAATACCTTTACCAGCAAATTTTAATTGGTCTGTTACTAAAGTAAAAAACTCAAAAACTTCTTAGCCTGTAGTGAATTACATCTGACAAGTATTAGAGACACTAGTGTAGTCTTTTGTGCTTGAAGATTAATTACCTACTCATAAATCAGATATTACAGACCATCTAGGGAGGCCATATCATCTCTATTTAGATTTTTCAAGTAGATCTTGGACCTTAGGATGAAGATATTCTCTTCAACTGTTTGCCAAGAATCTCTTACCAGGGAAATGGACAATGACAAAACCACAAGGCTGCCTCGAAGCAGGCTGTTGCTGCAGTTATCAGCAGCAATGTGGCATGCATCCAGTGATGCTCAACCGAGGGTGGCTGAGGGGCAAAGACACCATCCCCTGAGCGATTAATGACTAAACCACATCCACAACGGTACTTTGATATTGTGTGTGCTCTCCTCAGAATTATTCCACTCTAGTTCCCACCCACTCAGCTCTATCATTCCCTCTGTTCACAGAACACACACAAACTTTAACTATTGTGTTTTCAGTTTACACAGTCTGTTCCCTGGGAAGTTAGAGATCACAGGATTTGTCCACTCATATGAAGAGAAATGTAAGTGTGTGTGCTCTGTGGGAGAAAGAGTGATTGAAGTGTGTGAAGCTGTTGTGTGGGATGGTCTCCTAATGGACAGACATGCAAATTTTTGAGGGGAGGATTTGTTTTCTTTACTTACATGTATCTTTGTTCTCTCTCTCTTTTTAAATCATCCATATTACACAGAACACTATAGAAAAAGAAAGTAAAATTTTGAAAAGTAGATGCATCTTTCTCAACTAAAGTGCTGCATAAGTAATAACACCTAAGAATCAAGCAACTCAAATATTGTTTCTATTTATTTCATGTGCCAGTGTCTCTCTCTTAAGTCAATGGTGAAAGCTGCATGAAGAAATGTTCATTAGAAATCCTTCAGCATGAGTTGTTTGTGAGAAATTCTTCCAGTGTCTGGTTTGGCAAGAGATAAGGGAACAATTCCTTTACATTGGCATCTATTCAGAATTTCTTCCTTGTCAACAGAGAGAATGATACCTTCTGATACTTAAAGAAGTGCATTCTTTGATTTGCCTCATTTGGAAAATTCTCTGCACTATCCCAGAAACTTGCCCAAACAAAGAAAGGCAGAAATGAGGACTAGCCACCTGGAAGAGTAAACGGTTTGGGGAATCTGCATCTATTTGGAAGAGATGCTTCTAGGCAGATTTGACTGTGGTAATATTACACAATCAAACCACAAATATGTTAATAGATGTGAAAAGCAATGCATATTTCTTTCTTCATATGACTCAATTAACTGCAGAAGGTATATATTAGGTTTGGGGTTAGATTCAAGTGTAAGATTTGTGTCCATTCCTTTTGTGATCAGTTGAATGGAGCAATTTGTAAATAAGCTTTGCATTTCTCATGGTGGAATACAAATCAGAAAAAGCAGAAATAGAGAGAATCTGAAATGCCTTTAAGAACTCTGTACCTTCCATTCACAATTCATTTATATAGCAAGTCACATGGTCTGTTTTGTTAATCCTGTAGGGAAATGTAGACATTTTTTATGACCAAGAAAAAACTGTGAGTACAAACAAATACTCGTAGTTATTACATAAGGACTTCAACCCAACCAGCAATAGGGATAGTTAATGATAGTATGATTTCAGTTAATAATAAAATAGTATCTGTTGTGGCTCATCTGGGACCCTACTAACTGATAAGTCAGTCTGATTATAGCCTGTTTTTAATGTAACCTGCATAATATCTATATGGCTATGGTAATCACTCTTTATGGTATTGGTTATTATTCAGATTGGGCACTGATGTACCAGAATACTCAGTCAAGGGGGTGGAGGGTTGAAGATGCTCTCACTAAGATGCACGTATATGGAAGAGTGGTTTTCTTTCTATTGAAAATTTAAGTTGTTTCCAAGAAGCCTTCTCTCTACTGAAGGAAAGAAGTCTTTTTGAGCTGCATCTAGGTCTGCTTTGGCCACACAACCATGAGATACTTAGTTTGGTTTTCCAGAGCCCATGTGTAGACTCTGATCCCACTGATCCTACCACAGTAAGATAGGAAACAGAAATGGGGGAAACCTTGTAATCTCACAGACTATTCAGTCTGGCATATGCAGTAGCAAACATGAATTTGTCTCAAAATAAGTGAAAAGAGAGGTCCTATACGTGAAGTATTCTTCTGAGCTGAGCATGGGAAATATAGTATGCCTGCACCCACACTTGGGGACAAAATCTTATGTATCCCATTATAGCCTCAAGCTTACTACATAGCTAAAGATGGCCTTGTGCTCTTGATTCTCTAGCCTCCACCTACAAACCATATATGTGCATCACCATGCCAGTTTACATATGCAATATTTTAATTAATTTGTGAAAAAGGAGTCTTTCATAGAATAGAATTTTCTACTTTCAGTTTAATGTCAGAACTCAAAAAAGTTTAGTATTGGGGGCATTTGAAGTTTGGATTTGTAGATTAGGGATACTGGACAAATAGTCAAGAAAAAAAGAATAGTCTGGGAAGTCCCCAGAAAGTGAGGGGAAGCACACAGGCAACTCCTTGTCAGTGGGCAGGAAGCAACAATCCAGTGTTGTTAGCTCTCCTGACAGACCTGACTGAATCGTGTGTTCTCCTTCCCAAGCAAGCTGCACTGGGAATGTTGGCTCGCTCTGTGTTCTCACCATTTTTTATGATGAAAGCTTTGGTTAAAGAATTGAACATGGAACTGACAGCAGATAAGCATCTTAAAGAAAGTGAAGATTTAAAAAAAAAAAAAAAAAAAAAAGAAGAAGGCTAAAATACCCAGGACTTGGGTTTGAACATTTATCCTTGACTCTCTGAATGAAGCAGGTTCATGTCAGGACACAGTTTCAGCTTCTGTTTCCCTTGTCCCCTGGTAAACGCAGGAAAAAAGGAAGGAAGGGCTGCTCAGCCGGGGGAAATCCAGTCATCCGCTTTGGCGAGGATACACAGCCTGGGTTTGGGCTGTATTGTGTAGGGCTGTTCTCTCCGGCTCCATCTGAGAGGAATCGTTTCCCCAATGTTCTGAAATGTGTGGAGGGGAAGTATGGGACCACAGTGCAGATGCAGCTGTCTAGCTCCAAGAGGCCAAGGGGCCCAGAGCACTGAATGGCAATCACTGATTAGAAGTGCTCCCTGGTGAGCACCACAGGCAGACTTGTGTGCTGTGTGATTCTGCTTTCTCTGTTTAGCAGTGGTGATGGAACGTGCTCCCTGGAGAGAAACAGCAGTCTTCCCTTTCTGATGGGACTAAAGAGGGTTTGGAGTAGGTAGTTCCCAACAATGAATGAAATCCAATTATCAAGTCACAAATTTAAAAAATTAGCTTAAAGGGGCTGAGGATGTAGCTCTGTTGTTGGAGTTCTTGACTAGCATGCATAGAGACCTGGGTTTAATTCTGAGCACCTCACACAAATTACCTGAGATAGCTAAATGCTTATAATCCCAACACTTGGAAAGTGGAGGCAGGAGGATCAGGAGTTCAAAGCCATCCTTCCAATCTTTGCCAGGTTGGAGGACAGCTTGAGGTTCATGAGACCCTGTCTCTTATAAAATAAATAAATAAATAAATAAATAAATAAATAAATAAGAATAAAACCTACCATGATAATAAAAATAAGAAATCAATCTTCCCCTGAAAGAGCACAAAAATAAAAGGGGGCCCATTTCCCCCCCACTGTCCCCCCAACTCCCCCCTGAAGGGTTCACAACATGCCCCCATGGTCGGGTGTGTTTGCATATGCCCGGCAGACACTTCCGCCTAGCTAGGTCCAGGTCAGGATAGCCATTTCTGGGTCAGGGCATCTAGCATGACCAGGATGCCCGGTGGACCTGGACACTTCCACCTAGCCAGTTCCAGGTCAAGATAGCCATTTCCGGGTCAAGGCTTCTCGCATGACCAGGATCCGTGACGTTCTATGGCTACGTAGGCGTGCAGCGTGGCCATGTGATCTTCGAGCTTGCATGGAGTAGTGACGCTGATCTGTCCACGCCCAGCCTTTAATATCCGGCGCCATGTTCCCGGTTCTTCCTTCTCCACACATGTGTTTCCTGCAGGCCTGTGCACTCTCTGTCCCTTTATCTTTAATAAAACTCTTATTAGCGGATTCTGTCGTGTTTCATGACATTTCATTGCAGGCTAAGAACACAGCACAGCCGATTAACTAACACCCCCCCCCCCCCCCCACACACACACACACACACTGGCAACCATTTTCCAAGCTTAGCATTAACCTACGCTGGGTTTCTCTCCACCAAAGCCTGAGCCAGTCTCTGGGAGCTCCACTCACCGAATCACAGACTCTTTCTTAGATGCTAGCTGGTCTATACATACACATTTATTTGCAAGTCAATGCATGGAGTTTCTACTAGGCTCCTGATGCACAGGAAAGGGGTGTAACCTGAGAAGTGCCAAGATTGCATCAGTAGTGTGGCACGAGCATACTTTTATCTCATTTTTGTTTTTGTTTGTTTCTTTTGAGACAAGATCTGGAACTCACTCTCTTGCCCAGGCTGAAGTAGAACTCGTGGCAGTCCTCCTGCCTCAGCCTCCTGCCTGCCAGGTTTGCAGGAGTGAACCACCACTTCCGGCTTAATTTTATCTGCTTTAAGTGGTGTGGAGTGGACAGAGCAATGCTGAATCTCTGAGAAGAGCCATCATGGAAACTTCAGAAAGTCTAGAGGAATCTCGGAAATTCCTCTAGCTCAGACAGGCTCTGCTCAAGTTACAAACACTTTATCTTGCTCAGTCCCTCCCAACTACTGATTCGTCAGGAAAGAAGCATGGTTTCGATTTCAGTTCTCTTTATCTCAACTTGGGTTTGGGTGGCTGTTACTTTGCAACTTCTAACAGTGGCTGTTTCAAGCAGCCTGGAGCAGGAGGAAGTCCAGCGATTGAGCCTAGTGGGCTGAGAACTCGTCCCTGCTGCCGAGCCAGCGCCGGGTGAGTCGTCAGGAGCATTTCTCTCAACAGACTCCTTGGGAGAAAATTCCGGGGAACACCTGGGGTTGCACACTCTCACTGGTGGGCTAGCAATGGCAAGCAGCGGGACCGCACAGTTGACTCAGTCCTGTGTGGCCCGGTGCAGAGCGCCTTCTGGCGTCTCAAGGCTGCATGCGCTGCTTTTTTCAGACCTCTAACCCTTGGCTTGGGAGGCTGAGAATGAGAAATGAGTCTCATTCTTGGTGGTGGGAACTTGGGAAGGTAGCTCTGTCTGGGACCCAGGAGCCAAACCCGAAAGTCCCGCAGCAGCTCCCTGGTGGGTTAGCCTCTCCACTTTCCTTCCTTGTGCCCTCAGTGCTTTCCTGAAGGTAGAAATCTGTCCTCAAAGATGTCACCAAGAGGCTTCATTTCATGCTGGTGGAATCGGTCCCTGTTTACAAACTTCTGAATCCAATTTCCAGTGTCCCTAACTCATTCTCCATTTTCTTCTAAAACGTGTGTGTGTGTGTGTGTGTGTGTGTGTGTGTGTGTGTGTGTGTGTGTGTGAGAGAGAGAGAGAGAGAGAGAGAGAGAGAGAGAGTCAGAGAGAGAGAGACAGACAGACAGATAAACAGAGAGAGAGACACACACAGAGAGAGTGTGGGTGTGTTCATTCTCTGCTATTATCTCTCCCATTTGAATAGAGACCCACAAAGGCAGGAATTTGCGCGCATTTTCTTTACTCCTTGATAATAGCCACCTGAGGCAGTGCCCAACACAGGGTCAGTACTCAGTACTCTTCACATACTGAATGAGACTTTAAATTCTTTTAGAATGCCAGGACATCTTCCTACTCACTTGGCAAGTTTATCATGTGCATTTTGCTCTGCTTTCTACAGAACCCAAGTGCACTCTGGACTCATACACCAGTTTTTTGCTTTTCTCATTTTATTCTTTAAAAAGCCAGGTGATCCTTTTCATAGTTCAAATAAAAATCATAAGATACTGTATTTTAAGTACTGGACAGGCAACTCACTTTTCCCCTTAGAAACACACCGAAGTTCATACAGGTGTTGTACAAACAAAGGCTGATGCGTCTGCCTTGAGTAATAACCAGAGATGACCTTGAGATCACGTAATTCAAGTGATTGTTCTGTGATTGTTCTGAGTTACAGAGTGCTGTGGCATCTTCGTCAACCATGGAGGCACCCATTTGTCTGGTGCAGAACTGGCAAGAGCAGCTGACACTAAACCCGGAGGCCCTAAGGATTCTTGAGAAGATATCTCAGCCTCTGGTGGTGGTGGCCATTGTTGGCTTATATCGTACAGGGAAGTCCTACCTCATGAACCGTCTTGCAGGACAGAACCATGGTGAGTATCTGTCAGATGTGTGGGGACCATTTCCTTGGACCTCTGGTAGGGGGACTGAGCACACTTTTCTAGGCTCAGCTTAAGGAAAAGTCCAGTCCTTCTCATGAATTTTCATCAAATTATAGTTTATAACCTATGGAAAAAGATCACATCTTCTGTATAGTGATTGTTCCCCAACTTCATCAAAACATCCACCTCAGCATTCCTCTTGACCCACTCTACTCTGGCCTGATCAGCAGCTGAACACTGTCAAGGGCCCCCATTCTTCCTCCTGTACCTTTGCCGAAGCCACAAGAACATTTCAAGTATGAATATTGTTTCACCTGTCCTACTTAAATACAGATGGCCTGAAGAAGGATGCATGCTAGGGTCTTTATATACCCAACATCCAAACTGGGCTGTCATCCAGTCTCAGAGTTTGGCTTTGTTGTTTTTGTATTTCATGACAAACCTTTTTTTTAAAACTTCAATTTGCTATTTTGCCCTGTTGTGTTCCCTATAACACATTTTTGTGCATGGATACAGTATGTTTGAGCAGGTCTCCCCCCATAATCTTTCCTACTCTCTTTCCCCCCACTCCCACTAGTCTCCTTCATTCCTCACACAGTTTGCCTTTGCCTTTCATGTCATTCTTACACATACGGTTTGAGGTATCTGCTTAAATAAGGACCCACAAATGAGAGAAAACATGATTATTTGTCCTTCTGAGACTGACTTCATTACCATAGCAAAGCTTTTATGAATTATTGACAATAAAGTTAATGAATATGAAGTGAGCATCCAGATCAATATCCAGATCAAATATTGGATATTGGGAATAAAATCTGACTAACCACAGGAACCCAGATCATACTCTCTCACACACTCTCTGAAGCTCCTCGATACTTTCATTTACAGGGAACACATGCATTCTTTCTTTCTGTGTAGGGGAATATATGAGCTTGTGTGTTGCACAGGTTGGTACACCGTGTGCATATCCATAGGCTAGAAGAGGACACTGAGTGTCCTGTAATTGTCACACATATCCATAGTTTATTTATTTCCACCATTTTACAACATGTTGTTGTCTGAGGATACCATCTATCATTTATCCATTTGTTATTGATGAGCATTGATCCTATTTCCAGCATTCCACACATCCTTCCCCCAAAACTGGGAGCATAAGATACATATTTAATTTTTCTGACCTGTGCGCTGCACAGCTGTATGCTCTTTAACCCAATGCAAGGTTGAGCATCTTGAAATCTTTATTTTCTATTTTGTAAAGTAGGCTGTTTTCCCCTACTATATTGTCTCTATGTTGTTAACTGACATGTAGGCCATGCCTCTCATGATTCTATTTGGTGTTTCCATCTTTAAAAAGCCCACAGGCAGCTTTCTTCCTAATATGTTAGTTAGTTTTCACATCAGTGATTCAGTACCTTTTCTGATTGAAACTTGACTGTAAAATTCTTCCATCCTGAGGTATCTCTCCAGTTTCTCTCTCTCTCTCTCTCTCTCTCTCTCTCTCTCTCTCTCTCTCTCTCTCTCTCTCTCTCCCTCCCTCCCTCCCTCCCTACTTTCTTTCTTATCCTTTCTTCCTTTCACCTATCCTCCCTCTGGTTATCTGTTTCCCTTTCTCCTCCTTTCTTTCCTTTCTTCTCCCTTCTCCCCTTCTTGCTTCCTCTTTCTTCTTGGGCCTCCTGAACAACCCATTTGTTGTTGCCTTTATCTTTCTATTAGAGGAACTCTTGGCCATCAATTGGGGAAGATATTTTTCCTTTCCCAGATCAAAAAACTTTGTAAACTTTTGAGTGATTAGCATTTGAGAGCCCTAATACATAGGTATTAGACAGGTAAGTTTCAACAGTATTGCTTTTATTTTCTACTCAAGAAAACATTGGTAACTAAGGCAATTTCTGTTAAGCGAGTCCATGGTGGATGTTCCAGATCCAAACTGCAGCATGCACTCATGGGGTAACTGAAGGGTATGGAATGGTGGTACTGTACACAATGATGTAGGGAGGGCAAGGGAACCAACAGATGTGAGCACCACTTGGTGAGTCGCAATAGGAGTGGCCAGTTAGGAGTTAATCGCTCTTCACTCTAAAGGAGCAGGTAAAGAATGAGTCTCAACATGTGGGAAGAGAAATAAATATTGGATGGAGCTGCCTGAAGGGAGCTATGACCAGAGGTGAGAAATAAGTTCCAGGTACACTATAGCTCAAGATGGTAGAAGTAAGAGAACACAATGCCAGCTAGTGGCCATTCACTGATGTGTTTCAGTGGTTGAACTCTACCAGAGAAGTAAGAGGACACAGGATTTTTTGGACTCAGATAAAAGCATTACAATTAATAGAGTCTAAACTAATTCTACAACACAGTCCATTCTGCAGAGTTGGAATAATGAGGTAAGTAGAAGCCACAAGTGTTCCTTGGGAGAGTCTGTTGTGTATGGACTGAATTCATGGTCCGTGCTGAGATAAAAGCAAAACTTTCCTTGCTGCTTGTTAAACATTCTTAGCACTCTGCTACCCTCAGTCTTCCTGCTGTGACCTTTTGCTGTTTTCCCTCTTTCCTCAGGCTTTTCCTTGGGTTCCACAGTGCAATCTGAAACCAAGGGCATCTGGATGTGGTGTGTGCCCCACCCCACCAAGCCAAACCATACCCTGGTCCTTCTGGACACAGAGGGCCTTGGTGACATAGAAAAGGTAAGGCAGAATCTTATCTAATATAATGATTTTTTTCTCTAAATTCTCAGATTAACTCATCCCCTCTCTGTGCTTCTCTGTGCTTTTTTTTGTTATTAATAATTTTAGCTCTCTTTCTGGTAGACATTGCCATTGTGATTGTATGAGTATGTTGACATGTTTATTTGCTATGGTAGAAAGTCATCTTCAAGAAGACAACTGTATGGAAATTGATAGCCACAAAATGTGTCTCTACATTTTGTCAGAAGCACAATTAAACATTGCACTCAACTGAATAGGGTTTATATCTATAATCATGACAAAAATTATAAAAGTGTAACTGCCCACTTATCACTGCCTACTGTGATCCAGGTGCTTAGGAAATGTTTTATACACATTGAATGTTTTGTCTTTTTATCAGTCAGTTCTGGGAATCAAACCCAGGACCTTGTGCATGCCTGTCAAGGTTCCTACCACTGAGCTATATTATATCCTAACTCTACCAGTTAACTTAATAGCTAAACAAGCTAATGCCCTGAGAGGGGTCATTAATGAGGATCGAATGTAAAATTATCTTCAGATTCTGATATTTCTCTCAGATTCAGTAATAATGTATCTGAAAGAATGAGGGAACAATTGGATGAATGAATGAATGAATATTAGACTCTTAACTCCCTTGTCCCCGTGTGTATTCTGACTCCCAGGGTGACCCTAAGAATGACTGCTGGATCTTTGCCCTGGCCGTGCTTCTAAGTAGCACCTTTGTCTACAACAGCATGAGCACCATCAACCACCAGGCCCTGGAGCAGCTACAGTATCCTTCCAGGGATGGAACTGCCATGCTTCATTGAGTTTAGGAGGAAGGCAACTTATTGCTTTTTCTGGAGTCTAAGTCAGCAAGTCTTGGTTGAGGTAGAATGGACACAGGACAAAGAGGAATATTGTTTTTAATTTATTTATTATTTATTTTTTAATAATTTTTTCATTTATTTTACATACTGACCACCAATTTCCCTCCCTCCTCTACTCACCATCCCCCCATGCCTCTCACCTACCCCTTCCATCCACTTTTTCATTCAGAAAGGGGTAAGCCTTCCATGGGAGTCAACAAAGCATGACACACCAAATTGAAACCCCTCCCCTGCATCAAGACTGGGAAATACAATCCAGCCTGGGTAATGGGTTCCCAAAAGTCAGCTCAAATGCCAGGGACAGGGCCTGATCCCACTGCTGGGAACCTGACAAACAGACCAAGCTACACAAATGTCACACACATGCAGAGTGCCTAGATCGGTCCCATGCAGACATACTAGCTGTGGTTTTAGAGTCTGTGAGCATCCATGAGCTCAGGTCAGCTGTCTCTATGAGTTTCCAATCATGATCTTGATCCCTCTGGCTAGTACAGTCCCTCCTCTCTCTTTGCAACAGGACTCCTGGAGCTCCATCCAGTGCTTGGCTGTGGATCTCTGCATCTGTTTCCATCAGTTACTGAATGAAGGTTCTCTGATGACAATTAGTGTAGTCACCAATGTGATTATAGGAGATGGCCATTCAGGCACCCTCTCCACTATTGCTAAGAGTCTTAGCTGAAGTCATCCTTGTGGATCCCTGGGAATTTCCCTGGCACCAGGTTTCTCCCTAACCCTGAAATGCCCCTCCCCCATCAAGACATCTCTTTCCTTATTCTCCATCTCCATATCACCCCCAACCCACCCAACCAGATCCCTCATGTTCTCATACTCCCAGCCCCCCTCCAGCCCCCAGTTTACTCAGGAGATCTCGTCTATTTCACCTTCCCAGAAAAAATCCCTGTGTCCCCCTTGGGGCCCTCCTTGTTACCTAGCCTCTCTGGGGCTGTGGATTGTAGCTTTATAACTAATATCCACTTGTGAGAGTGAGTATGTACCCTGTTTGTCTTTCTGGGTCTGAGTTACCTCACTCAGGGTGATTTTTTTTTCCAGTTCCATCCATTGACCTGCAAATTACATGATGTCATTTTTTTTCACCTCTGAGTAATACTCCATTGTGTAAATGTATCACATTTTCTTTATCCATTCTTCCTTAAGGAGCATGTAGGTTGTTTCTAGGTTCTGGCTATTATGAATAACGCTGCTATGAACATAGTTGAGCAAGTGTCCCTGTGGTATGATAGAGCATCTTTGGGTATGTGCCTAAGATTGGTATTGTTGTGCCCAGATCGCGACCCCCAGATAGACCACCAAAGACGAGCATGCCGGAATGCAAAAGCAAGGTTTAATTCTGGATATCCAAAAGCAATACAAGCCTAGGCAGGGACTTCGTCCAATACACCCAATGCAGTGGAGGCTGGAGGAAGCAACCACCTGTCTGCAAACTCAGTTTTTAAAGGGAAAAATCACAAGGTTACATCGTTTAGGGGTGCTAGTACGGGTACAATTCTGATTGGCTCGCTTCTAGGGGCTTTCTAGAAATCATGGCTTAATCTTACTTCTAAGGGAGTGGTTGCCCACCACCATTTCTCATTGGCTGCCCTCAGGTGGGGACATTTCTGTGGTCAGTTACCCTGGAAACCAGGGAGAGGACATTCCGTAGTCCAGCAGTCACTACCTCATGATTACCTTGTGACTCTGTACTTTTATACTTCCTGGTTTCTGGAATCTGAACTGACTGGTTTTAGTAACTCATGGCCTGTACCTAAAAGGAGAAATCTTAGGCCTTAGTTTTAGGGTGAAAGCATTTTGGTCTTATTTCTAAGATGGCTCATTTTGGTCTCATAGTATAGCTGGGTCTTGAGGTAGATTGACTCCCAATTTTCTGAGAAACCTCCATATTGATTTCCAAAGTGGCTGTATACAAGTGTGCATTCCCACTAGCAGTGGAGAAGTGTTTAAAGGGAAATATTTTTAATAATTAATTCTATATGAGACCTGGAAGATATTTAGTTTCATATCCTTAGCTACAATCCCAGCTATGTGACTGAATTAACACAGCTAATCCGGGCAAAATCCAGCCCCAGAGAGGATGAAGTAGAGGACTCTAGTGAATTCGTGGGTTTCTTTCCAGACTTTGTCTGGGCTGTTCGGGATTTCATTTTGGAGCTGAAGTTAGATGGACGCATCATCACAGCAGATGAGTACCTGGAGAATGCCCTGAAGCTGATTCCAGGTATCAGAGTATGAGGGAAGTTTCAACAGGGATGTAGCATCAACTGAACCCTGCACAGCACTTGACATATCTGCTTGAGACTGGGTTGAAACCTGTGTTAATGGTCACGACAATCTACAGGCAGCCATAATTTTGGGTATCACTATTACTTGAAAATATTCTGAGGCTAAGATTTAAACCTACTTTAACTTAGGACATATCATATAGAATAATTTTATACCCATTAGTATTACAAACAAAAACAAAAATATCAAGGATTACAATCAAGGAGACTATTTCCTCAGCCTTATTTATTTATTTGTTAATTTGTATGTTCTTCATAAGCTTTTTTTTGAGAAAAATGGTTCATCAAATAAATAAGTGAGAAAACCTAAAATCACAAGGAAATCTACTGACCTAATTTTAAAAACATTTCCCACTCAGAGTGTTTTACTAGTTCAAATAGTTATACCTTCCAGTGGATGTATGTTTAAAACAAAGCAACTCTCAGTGGATGAGGGTGGGGGAAGTAGATGTGTGTCTCTACTAATGTGCAATGTTTCATTTGCACCCAAGTTTCACCCAAGTTTCACCTTCTAGCCTTATGCAATGTACTGGCATGTTAACATTTCAAATTCATTACATGAACTATGTTAGTAGGATAGGTAAGTGCCTAGAATCAATATTTTTTATTCGTTCATCTATTATTTAGACAAATATTCATTTTACATAGCTAATTTATGTTACAAGTCTCTTTGAAAAACAGTGTCAAGTCCAATATAATGACTAAGTAGTGAGGTCTCCTAAGGCACTGGTTACTCTAAAGCTGTTGGTGCAGCCATTCAGATGTCCTGGGGCTACAGCCTTGAAAACATTCTTGGGTCACCATATCTTCTTCTAGCTGCCTCTTCAATGAGTGCTCTCTCTCTCCTCCCACCTTTTTTAAATTTTATTTTACAGGAAACAATCCCAGAGTCCAAAAATCCAACATGACAAGAGAATGTATCAGATATTTCTTTCCAGTACGGAGATGCTTTGTCTTTGACCGGCCCACAAGTGACAAAAATTTATTATTACAAATTGAAAAAGTTCCAGAACACCAACTGGAATGGAATTTCCAGGTTGAATTGAAAAAATTCTGTTCCTACATCTTCACCAATGCAAAGACGAAGACCCTGAGAGGGGGAATTATTGTCACAGGAAATCGTGAGTTTCTTTTGTCACATGAATGTCTCTGTGGCTTTGAGTATGTAAAGAAATGATGATCTTTTGTGGTCTTGAAAACTGTTGTTTGCTTATGTAAAGGAATACGGAGAAATAAATGTTCAGATCACATATACGTGTTCCATACTTGAACTTTCTGTGTATGAGTGTTTATTGAGGTCTAACATGCCTCACAGAACTAACACCATAAAGATGTCCAGAAGACTGGACAGAAATCTGCAATATGACTTGAAGTCCCCAAGGAAGAGTGTTTCAGTTTGATCATACAGATTATTTATGGGGCGGCACATGTCAGAACACAGCAGGTCAAAAGTCCCATGCAATTGAGAAAGAAGTTTAAACATGACAAGTGTCATGGACATTCTGCCTGTGTGAACATGCTTTGTCAGCACTCACATGGGTCCATGCTTGGTTCCATGTTCTATATTCTGTCTTCAAATTTCTGATTTTTTTGATGGAACTTAAATTTTCATTTGGAACTTGGTCTCACAAAAGATGAAATTTACTTTCCCTTTCTAGCAAACTTTTATTGTATTTATATGGTAGAGTGTTTTTCCCCCCAAGAAGCCTTGAAACCTCTTGGTTATAATCATTGATTATTTTTAGTGTATTGAACTAGAGAGCTACAGAGGAATGAAGTTGATTTTATTAAATAGATGTTGACTCTGAGAGAACATGAAAAGAGAACAGAAGATATGGAAGAAGTTAGAGGAGAAGAGAAATTGAAGATAAACAGAGTTTTGTTGCTTTTGATAATGCTAGGTCTAAAGCTTACACAAACAATGAGAACTTTCTCATTCTTGATGGTGTTTTTCTCAGGACTGGGAACTCTGGTGCAGACCTATGTGGATGCCATCCATAGTGGAACTGTACCTTGTTTGGAGAATGCAGTGATGACCCTGGCCCAGCGTGAGAACTCTGCAGCTGTGCAGAAGGCAGCTGACTACTACAATGAACAGATGGTCCAGCAACTGAAGCTCCCCACAGACACGCTCCAGGAGCTGCTGGATGTGCACACAGCCTGTGAGAAGGAAGCCATTGCTGTCTTCATGGAGCACTCTTTCAAGGATGATGAGCAAGAGTTCCAGAGGAGGCTGGTGGTAACAAATCTTAGCACTTAGCTTGCCTGATCTTTGTCCTTCTGTTATAACCCTTAGACTCCACTTTTTTGATCTCATAGTCTGAATCTTTCTCTTTGGATTTTAAATGGGTAACTTGAGTCTTTGAACTAAAATTTGCCCTTTCTAGGAAAAATAGCATTTGCTATGAAACAAGCTATCATGTGCTTAGTACATTGAAACAGTATGCATTTTATTAGCTCAAAGTTCAAGGCAGAGGTGAAGCAAGGGCATGTGGATCTCTGCTCCATGTACTACAAACAGAAAACATGGTGCCAGGTTGACTTAGCTCTGATCCGTAGGCCTGAGGGAAGCCCTCTCTCTTACCAGCACACAAGAAAGCACTGGCTCCTTTTCATGTTTCTAGATGTTCTGATTTCTCTTCCTGCCATAGCCAGACAAAACTTACGTTTTGAAAGGCTTGGGTGACTAGATCACCCTGTACTATGTAATATAATGTCACCATAGGATTACTCTCCACCACGTTCACTAGCCCTGGGTGATAAAAGCACTAACACCAAGAAACAACTCTCAGGGGAGTATCATGACTTACTAACCCAAAGGCAGCTTCCCCTAGAGTTTCTGGTCTTCCATTTCTCTTAATTTAAACCCTGAAAGACAAAAATATCTTAGCTCATACTGAGGAAATTTGTCAGGATTATCACTTATGAGCACAAACAAACACATAAAGAAACAAAATATACCCGTTCTAACATCCTGACACTCAAGTAATCATTGCAAAAATTCATAGGGGTTCAAAACTCCACTGAGAATACATTTACCTCAGTTCTGAAGAACTGGTTTGTCTGCCACACCAACCCCCATTCTCAGAGGAAATGGACTTATGTCTTCCAACTTGATTTCACAGCTGCTGGGTATGAACACAAGGAAGTTAACAGACTTTTAAGAAGTCACACAGAATTGACCACATTGAGACTAAAGCAAATCTCCTGATCCTCCTTCTGTCCCAGTACATTCTGGGGCTGTCTCATTGCTTCATCCAGGACAATTCCAGTGGCACCTTCTGTCTTAGTTAGGGTTTCTATTGATGTGAACAGACATCATGACCATGACAACTCTTATAAAGAAAAGCATTTAATCGAAGGTGCCTCACAGTTTCAGAAGTTAAGTCCATTATCATCATTGTGAGAAGCACAGTAGCATGCAGGAAAACATGATGCTGGAAAAGAAACTGAGAGTTCTCCATCTTAATCTACAGGCAACGGGAAGTGAACTGTGGCACTGGATGCTTGAGCATAGGAGACATCAAAGCCTGCCTCCACAGTGACACACTTCCTCCAATAAGGCAATACCTGCTCTAACAAGCCACACCTCCTAATAATGCCACTCCCTATGGAGGCCATTTTCTTTCAAACCACCATACCTTACTTCTAACAACTTCTTTGTTTTGTCTTCTCCTCCTCACCCGGCAGGCTGCCATAGAAGAAAGGAAGGAAGCTTTTATACAACAGAATGAATCAGCATCTCTCAGTCACTGCCAGGCTGAGCTGGAGAAGCTGGCAGAGCCCCTGAGGGAGAGTGTCTCAAGTGGAGCTTTTTCTGTGCCTGGTGGGCACAGCCTGTACATAGAGGCCAGGGAGAAGGTTGAGCAGGGCTATGAGCAAGTGCCCAGGAAGGGAGTGAAGGTGAGGAATGACAGAAGCAATGGCTGACTGAGTTTAACTAGAGGGATAACTACTATATACTGGTAGAACTAAGCAAGGTGAAAATGAGTTCATGGTTGGCAGACACTGAGCATTCAGTTCTGGAGCCACGAGTCATTTCAGGCGACTTGGCTAGATTACCAGTTCAGTTTTCAGGATATAAACTAAGTGACTGTGCTTTCCAGTCTCATGCACTGAATAAGTGTAATGCATGAGGGACCTAACACATTGCCTAGGACCACACCACTGTTCACTGGCAGATTTGGCAGGTCAGAATCTCAGAATTCTGTTTTATGAGGAATCTTTATGCTGTTGTGCACAATGACTGTAATCAGTTTCCATTGCACTAAGAAATCTGCAAAGGTTTTTGTCAACCCAACCAAAATTTTTGAGCTTATTGTAATAGGCATGGCCACAAGAGTGAGATGACACCTCATTGTGGTTTTGGTTTGTTATTTCATGAAGGATTAGTAATGCTGAGTGTGAATACCCATTGGCATTTGAATTTCCTATTTTGAAAACCATCTTTTCAGGGCAATTACATGTTACTTTAAACATGCTAGTTTTCCCTACTGTGTTGTGTGAGTTCTTCATCATCTTCATGTTTTAACTCCTTATCAGTCTATGGCTTGCAAACATTTTCTCTCATGCTATATATTCCCTTTCCTTTCATCAAATGTTTCCTTTACTGTACAGAGAGTTTATAGTGGCCTATAGTCTCACCCATATATTTGCCTATGCTTTTGGTGTCAAATCTAAAACACCATCACATGGCGTTTCTCTCAACTTTTGTTTTAAGAATTTTATAGTGCCAAGTCTTAGGGTATTCCGTTTTTAGTTTGTTATTGTGGGAAGTGTAATATAGAGATGTAATTTCACTATGTCTTGGCTCTCAGTTCCCTTCTATTAGTCTATATGTCTGTTTTTATGCCAGTACCATGCTGGTTTGACTCCTAACTAATGAAATTATGTTATATTATCTTATCTACCTATCATCTATATCTATCTATCATCTATCTCTATCTATCTATCTTCTGCCATCTATTTCATATCAGTATGATGAATCACTATTCAGTCTTAAAAATGCTGCCAATTGTGAAAATATGAATGAATCTGGAACACATTATGTTCATGGAAGTAAACCAAGCACAGGAAGACAAGTAATGCATGCTGTGGCTCACTTTCAATGGCATCACTGAGAGAGAAAGAGAACATCAAACAAAGATAAACTAATATTAACCATCTTATTACTGTTCTATTGCTGTGAAGAGACACTATGACCAAGAGAAGTCTTGTAAAAGAAAGTATTTAACTGGGGGCTTATTTACAGTTTTAGAGAGGCAGATCATAATCATCATGGTGGGAAGCAGACAGGTATGGCACTGGAGCAGTAGCTTATGCACAGGAAGCAAGCAGAGAAAGAGACTGAGACTGGTATGGACTTTTGAACCTCAAAGCTCACCCCCAGTGACACACTTTATCCAACAAGACCACACCTCCTAATCCTTCCCAAACAGTTCTACCAACTGGGGACCAAACATTTAAATATATGAGCCTAAAGGGCCCATTCTCATTTAAAATGCCACATTAACATAGAGTACAATGGTGATTACTATGGCTGGGAATAGGAGAAAAGGAAGACATTGGTTAAGAGATATGAACATGTAGTTATAAGACATATTAGTTTTGAAAGTCAAATGGTGACTATACATAGAATAATCCACTATGTACCTGAAAGCTAGAAAAGAGTAGACCTCAAGTGTTATTACAGCACAAAGGTACCTGTTTGAGGCAATACATACATTTCTTTGATTATATTAAATACTTAACAACATATAATAGATTAAATCATTGTGTGCCTTAAACACGTACAATTTTCATTTGTTAATAATACCACAATAAAACTGGATAGTAGAAAACTAAAAGAGCAGCCAGAAATACCAGAATAAGCCACCTGAGATACAAAGTGACATGTCTGCATACATTGTCTTATCTATAAATTCTGGAATACCCATGAAGACAGGAGACAAAATATATTCAAACATGGTAAACAATGGAGGCTATGTGTCTGTGGAACTGCATGTAACTGTGGCTGGAGCTATAACCTGGGGCAGCTGGTAGGCAGTTTCACTGGGAAGGGAAGCTGTGAAGCTAGCAAGAAGGCTGAGGCAGAGGGTTTTTGTATTAATGAAGAGCTTGTACTTTTTGTTATGGTCATGAAACTAAAGGGACATTGTAAGAACAGGACTCAAAAGATTAGGTGTTTTATTAATCAATAAATACCTCAGCAGGAGACTTACCTTACTCTTTGAATTATATTTTCTCTTCTTGGGTCCCCAGGCAAAAGAGGTTCTCAAGAGCTTCCTACAGTCACAGGCTATTGTAGAGAACTCGATCCTGAAGTCAGACAAAGCCCTTACAGATGGACAGAGGGCCATAGCAGGTAGGGTAGAGGGTCCAACTGTTAGAGGGGTGAGTACATTCTGCAAAGCCCTCTGACTGATGCACAGGTAGATCCTTCTGGAACAAGGAGCTTCCTCCTGCCAGGGGTCATGACCTCTCCCAGATGTGCAAACAACTAGAGGTGTTGGTGTTGTGTTGAATGTCCAGTCAATGGTGCCTTTCTGTCATGTTAGGAACCATGCTGCCGCTGGCCTGGCTGATGGGAGTACTCAGAGGTTTCCCTGTGAGCCCAGGGGAGCATAGCTACATTCTGACTGGGATTTCTTTCCTCTCTCAAACATCTGTGGAACAGCTGAGCGGACAAAGAGGGAGGTGGCTGAGAAGGAACGAGAGCTGCTGAGACAGAAAGAGAAAGAGCAAGAGCAAGTGATGGAAGCTCAAGAGAGAAGCTTCCGAGAAAACATCGCTAAACTTCAGGAGAAGATGGAGAGGGAAAGGGAGATGCTTCTGAGAGAGCAAGAGAAGATGCTGGAGCACAAGCTAAAGGTGAGCATGGATGATGGGGCTTATCAGTGTCAGACAGATGGTGCTGGGGAGATCTTGGGGAGATGGTGTTGTGACTCCCCAAGAAGGGAACTGTTCATCTCAAACATATAACTTCAACTGGGAACGTTTCAATGAAGTTCACATGTGTCTTACTGAAGCTGTGAGCATAAGAGCCCAACATCTGTGCAGGGTTAGACTTTCGAGTGTACAAATGATGTCCCCAGCGTTCTGAGTTGCTCTTTGAGTTTCTAGGATGGTCTTCTTGTGCGACAGTTGATACTTCCCACTAGTCTTTAGGACTCTAGGCTTAATCTTCAAAGGGACACGAGGTGGGCCTATCTAGTGTGAATGTGTCAGATCTAGCCCAGGATAAAATTGAGGAGGAGGAAGAGGAGAAGGAGGAGGAGGAGGAGGAGGAGGAGGAGGAGGAGGAGGAAAAGGAGGAAGAGGAGGAGGAGGAGGAGGATGGGGTTGGGAGATGCATCAGTCAGTGAAATTCTCATTGTGCATACATGAGGAACAAATTCAGATCTTCGGAATCCATGGAGAAAATCTGGACGAAGTGACATGTACCAGTGACCCTTGTGCATTTGGGGGAAAGAGAGGAGGACCTGTGCGGCTTTCTAGCTAGGCAGTCTAGTAAAATCACCTAGCAATAGAATTGAGGAGAGACTTTATCTTCAAAACAGGGCTGTAAAGTCGACTCAGGTGTTAAAAGCACTTATTGTTCTTGCCAAGGACCCAGGTTTAGTTCCCATCAAACACGTGGCATCTTATATTGTCCAGAACTAGAATTTCAGGGGATCCAATACCCTCTTTTGATATCTATGGGCACCAGGCACACACACATGGTATACATACATGCAAGCAAAATACTCAGACATGTAAATTTGATAAAAACTAAAGAGGAGGCAATTGAAGAAGATACATGACAACAACCTCTGGCTTCTGCAGACATGTACAAACACATACATGTACACTAGCATACACACAGGCTCACACATGCATGCACAAAGAGAGATTAATTAGATTAATTAATTAAATTGAAAAATAAAGTCACAATAAAATAAAACATGACGCAATCTCATAAATTGCTCTATTTATTCCTGTGCCTGCTTGATTCATCCTGTAGCTGGAGTAAAAGAAACTATGTGTCCCATCCTAGAGTTAATAACGAGCGATCTCTACAAGGTCAGCACTCCCAAAATCTTTAAATAATTAAAGAAACACCTCCTTGGAATTGAAAGTCAGTTTCAGTTCGCCTCTGCAGTCTCTCCCAAAGGGCAAAATTTTCGTGTATTGGGACAAAACTCTTTACTCTCCAGGGGAAGATGCTGAGGAATTCTCCCTAAATACATACAAACCATGGATATTTTTATTATTAGGTGAAAATGTCTTGAAATATGAAAGACCCTTCTGAGGCGAAATAGATCATGTATTTAAGCTAAAGTTGTTAAATGCAAAATTCTGCCAATAATGGAGGATTTTTCTTTTTACAGGTCCAAGAAGAACTGCTTGTGGAAGGATTCAGAAAGAAATCTGAAATGTTAACGAATGAAATAAGTCTACTAAGGGAAGAGATTGAGACAACTAGAAGGAAACCCTCACTGTTTGCACAAGTCCTTGACACAGTTGGCGATGCATTCATGATGGTTTTACCAGGAGTTGGTAAAATATGTGGTGCAGGGCTGAAAGCTCTCAGCTCACTTATGAAGTAGTCTGAGAGTTCCTGGGGAGGAATTAATAAAAACTAGCCTTCTATTACTTTGATACCGCAATTCTATGCCTTGTTTTTAAAATATATGTGCTACTTTAATAACCAGTATTATATAAACGAGGTTGGAACTCCCATGATTTGTTAAATAATCAAAGAGACACCACACTATTGGAGTTGAGAGTCAGTGTCAGCTCATTAGCAGTTACAATCACGATTAAAAATACAAACCGATGGTTCAAGGATTATAAGGGTCTGACATCCATAAATCCCATCAAATTTCATTGACATAATCTATGGAGTACAGAGGGAAACCAGTCAGAATATAGAGAAATTATTTCTAGAAAGGATATAAGTAAAAAAGAAAAATGGCCCAATGGAGAAACATTGGCAATTATATCCTGGTCATACAGATAATTCATTGTGAAGAGCTCCTGTATAAAGACACAAGTAGATTTTCACAGGAAAAGTATGAAGAAAATGTTAAGCTGATTGGTAATAAAAGCTGGGCAGATTAAAATTAAAATACAGGGATGTGGGAGACACTCTGCTTCCCCATCAAGTCTCCCAACCATACGTGATCAGCAATAGGAATATGAAGCCACAGAGAAGGGATTATTGGCTTGAAATTATAGCTGATTGTGTTCCAGGAGGAGATAGTGAGGGAAAAGCAACAAAACAGCAAAAGCACAGTGAAGTCATCTCCACTCGGTTGACATTCAGTCATCCCTTGTTAACGCAAACAATATTAGGTCCAGCCTGTATTGTTTGCTTCCAGGGGCCGCAGAAGAGTATAACAACCAGCTGAGGATTCTAATCTGAGGGATATTCAATGAATCTAAGCACACTGAGTTCTTTAGTCCATTCACTTTATTCTTCTATGGCGGTTCTATCTGCACAGTTTCTTTTCTGCTCTTTTACTTAGCTCCTCTCGGTCCCTCCTGCTCTCAGTCCCTCCTGCTCTCAGTCCCTTCTGCTCTCGGTCCCTCCTGCTCTCGGTCCCTTCTGCTCTCGGTCCCTCCTGCTCTCAGTCCCTCCTGCTCTCAGTCCCTCCTGCTCTCAGTCCCTTCTGCTGTTCTCTCATCATTCTCCCTAGTTCTTTCCATCTCCGCCCTCATCTTTGTTCTTCTCAATCAATCCTCCCAGTGCTCTCAGAGAACCAGTATATAGACCCACACAGTAATTCTTTAGTAAAGCAATGCGAGGCTTGAAGTTTTCAGGGTCTCAGAGAGAGGTGATAAGGACCCACACATAAAGCAATTAATTGTCAGCTTCCAATTACAACCCAAAAGGGGAGTGACTAAAGGGGAGTTCTCTGGTAGGGTCAACTAAAGGCTAAGACCAACTAGGGAATTTTTGTGCTCAAACTATAATCTAGAAATGGCTAGGTAGACTGTTAGGGGTCAGTAAGTCACAAGAAAGTAAACTGTCTTTGGCGCCACTTCTCCCGCTCATCCCAGCTGCAGCTGCTTTCTGATAGAGAGGGGGATATATGCTAGGTGGCTAAGCAACCCATATCAGAGCCTGTAGCATTTGGTTAGTAAAAGCACGTTCACTCATAGTAATTGCTGAGGAGAAAATCTAGGAATAGCACCTGCTGAGGAGAAATAAAAACTTGATTTGCACAAGAAAGAAGCTTGGCACCTATCGCCTGTTTGGCCTTGTAGGCAATCTCCTTGGGTCAGTGGGAAGTAACTGCCTTAACTCAGTAACTAGCAAATGGCTAAAACTTCATCCCAGGAATGTGAGCAGTAAATCTCTTAAGTGAGGGTCTTGTGTAAATAACCAGGGGTAAAGGTAAGGGGTTGAGGATTTAATTGTTAGTGGTTCTTTTCTCTATCTGTGAGTGGGATGAGCTAATGTTTATCTATGTGCAGTTTTGACCTTGAAAAAATGTATCTTTGTTGAAATACTTTTGTCCAGAGAATGGCTCTGGCCAGATATATGTTAATAAAAAATAAACACAGCTGGGACAGTTGTCCAATTACCCCAAATGTATAGAGAAAGTTGTGCCCAAGATTGAGATGCAGTCATGAGATTACATGTACACATAACATGGAGATGCACAGTAAATGGGGAGAATCATAACTGTTATTGCACAAGAAGTTTACAACAAGAGACAGCCAGTTCATTCAAAAGGCAGTAATTCCATAACACCTTGCATGATGGTTTCCTCTAACAGAACCCTTAGTTCTGATAGGTTGACCTTCCGAACTCTAGTTGTCACTGCTGTATACTCTCATGGACTTTTACTACCAGCGGCTCTCAATACCTTGTCATCTGTTGGGTGAAGTTTCCAGGCCAAAGGCTTCTCACACATTTGAAAATTCATGAAGAATTTTTGTTTTGATGGCATGACAGATCAGTTTATATCACTTTCTCAGAAATTTTGTAGGAAGACAAATTTACTATTCCTGCATGTATTGTCTGGGCTATTTTCTCAGACTTCGTTTGTAGTGTGTCTTCTAAATCTACCTTCTCACCTGTTAGGGTGAATTTCAATACCCCAGACAAAACTGATTCATTAAAAACCTCTTCTGTGTTGTGAAGTTTTGAGGGGAAAATTATTGGAAATGCAAAGAAACAGCTACAGCTCAGTTGCATAGCGCGTGCTTGGAGAGAGGAGGGAGTGGAATATTGCAAACAAAAATAGGTTGCAAGCTTGTTCGAGAACACTAGAGAGAAGGAAGCAGGAAAGCTAAGGAGGCAGCGCTGCTTAGTCCCATCAGCCTCTGTGTCTTCAGATTAAATTTTCCCACGTGGGCAGGCATTGCTTAGGGGAGGAAGGACAGGCTTTTGACCATGTCTTTTGACCATGTGCCCACATATGGTAAGAGAACTCCATAAAGCAAAAACCAGTCAGAGATGGCACAGGTAGGTTTTTGCCCACTTCTCTGGTGTGGACGTCAGACCAGACGTATCATTCTCTGTAGAGTGAGGGACATGGGACAATAGCTACAGATCACAGAATGTGACAAACCTGTCATGAATTATTAGTCTTCTTAGTGTTGACCCTTTTCATGAAAGTTTCCATCTTTAAACAACCACACCCTCCATTAACCATTATTTCCATTAACCTCCAGGTCAATTAGCCGACTCTTTGCTGTTATTGTAGAAAAAAATACTCCCTTTGATGAATTATGAGTTTATGTATACTTTAGGATGAAATTGATTCACAGGCATACTTAGCACTCTATCTAGAATCATCTTTGAAATACTTGTAAAATGCTGTCTACTCCATGCAATGTTGTCTGAATGTTACGGCCTCCAAACTCATATACTGAAACCTAATCCCCACCATGGTGATACATTAGGAAAAGCGGCCTTGAAAATGATTAGGCCATGACACAGGAGCCCTCATAAGGGAACTAAGAGCCTGGAGTCCTTCCATTCCACCATAGAAGGGCACAGCTAAAAACTACCATCTATAAACAGAAAGTGGGCTCTTGCCAGATATCTAGTCTGTCAATAACTGGACCTTGTCCTCCAAAGATCACAGAATTGTGAAAACAATGTCTGCTACATAAACAAAGCCAATGATTTATGGATTTATTATAGTGATCTTAACACACTAAGACACCCTAAAATAATTTAAAGTGGATTACCACATGGACCCGCACATCAAATTCCAACCTGCTTCTGTTAAAGAACTCCACCTTCCTATTTGCTCACACTTTTATTATCTCCTCCTGTTGTGTCAAATGAAGCTATTTTTTCTCCAAACCAAGAGCATGAACACAACCCATGTTTCTCAGTACACTCTGTTCTCTGTCCTTCAGTGTAAGAACCATAAACAATTGAACATTTACGTCATGACAATTGGCATACAACCATCAGTTCTTAAGTGTGCATCTATCAGCTAGTTTAGAGATTGTAATACTACCTAGCATGAGATAATTCTTGAGGACCAGAGAAATGGCTCAGTTATTAGAGGCGTTTGACACCAAGCCTGACTACCTCATCACCAAGACCCACATGGTGGAAAGAGACAGAGAGAACTGACTCCCACAAATGGTCCTGTGACCTCCAGCAAGGCTATGTTGTACATATGTGTCCACACACATACACATTTGCACATACACAAATAAATGAAAAATAAAAATATATTTATTAAAATATGTGGTTTATTCTTTTAAAGGGGAAATTACTTTGTATAATTGCAGATACCTTTTTATAACAAATAAATGATGGAAAATATACACTATGCTAAGCAAAATATACTGTTAAAGTAACCTCCCACCTCATCAATAAGCTATAAACACTATTAACCTTACAGCATGTATTCTTCTACTTCTTTATGATTTATTACTGATTTATAAGATATTTTATCAATAGGACAATTTTACATAGACTCTGAAATGAATCATTCTCAACCAACACATCCAAACTTACCTATAGAAGCAACAGCTTTTTTCTTCAGGACGAAGTTGAAAAGTAGATAGAAAATTAACTTGTATTTTAGGAGAATTATAAGTTTTGCCAACAAAAATGTTCTCTCCATAAAAATGTGGAAAAGAGTATTATTTTATTATTAAGGAAGCAGAGCTGAGTATGTGCAGGCAGGAATGCTGTAAGTGAATAGAGAGCTGGGATGACACTTCCTACTGTAGATTTATCCAAACATGGAGATAATTTTTATCAGCAACATTCCCAGTTGGCATGTGGCATGCTGCCTCAGGCTGGAGGCTACCTTGTTTTCCCACAAAGGGGCCTCAAAGAATGTCATAGCCACACACTTAGAATGAAAAACTGTCCTATAGGTATGTCCTGGCCATGACACTCATAAACTCAAAGCACTTATGGTTTCCAAAATAGGGTTTACATGAGATTGATCTCATAGACATTCAGTTACAGGTAGAGGAGAGGCTCATGGGTCCAGCCCTGCCCAGGGAACCTATTGTCACTTGAGAGCTGCTGGAGAGAAAAATCATTGTCTTCAGTCATGTAGCCACAGCTGAATTACTCCTGCTCCAGTGGGCACCTCCCTCCTCTTGTCCACTCAGGTGACCCTGTTTAAACCCAGTGGGTCACACAGCAGAACCAGAAACAAAAAAAAAGACATGAAACTGAGTGTGTGCTTGGGGGGGCAGAAGTAGGGGATGGGGTGAGAGGAAGACAAGAAGGGGTGGAGAGGTGAGTTTGATAAGAACATATTATATAAATGTATGATATTGTAGAAAAATATATTTTTAAAAGACATTAACTAAAACACAAAGAAGTTGATGATAATAGGCTCTTACATGGCCGACTTCTCTGTGCCTTCCTTTAGACAGAACACTATGAGTTTACCCTTGGGAACCTCTGCACTGTATATAGTTGATGTGAAACTAGAAAACTGATTAGTAGGCATTGTGAGAGAAGTTGGGAGTCATGAGAACACAAGGGTAGATGATATGATCTCATACACAGTGAATCTCAGTCATTTGTACTAATGTAATTAATATATCTTAACATTTTCAAAATAAAAATAGCACATATGAAAATAAGATGAGAGAGAGACAGAACATGTGATTAAAGACAGGACAGATGTGCAGGTGAAGCTTCTAAGTGACAGACAGCATCGAGTTCTGCCTGTGTAGAAGTTTATAGTACAGAGCGGTGGAGTCTGCAGACAACATTCTAGAAAGCTTTCTGTGCTGACCCTGAAAACAGGGCTGCTTCTGTCTCTGTTCAAGCTGAACTGAATGCAAGGTCATCGTTACCTCTGAGAGTGGCAGTTGTCTCCTAAAAAGAGCTCATCATAACAAGCTCCACATGCAAAATATGGTGCCAAGTGTAGTACAAGTGGCCATACAAGTTATTTTTGACTCAGGTCAAGACCATGGGGACTGCTGAGACATCCAGCCTCTTGAACTGAATCCTTGGCCTTTCCATCAGGAACCAGCCATTCTTGGACTACTTCAAGGCCAATGCCTTGCTTACCACAGTGTGCCTCAACTGTAATTATTCTAGGACACTCAAACACTGTGAATGTGAAGCTGTCAATGGTTTTCCCTAGTAGTTGTGAAATTTTATTTATACTTAGTCATGTAGAGAAAGGACACAAACCCACTCGTGTCTTAAGAAACATGCTACAAAGAAGACTTTTAAACTTAAAAAAAATAAAAAAATTCATTCTTATACGCCCTTAAATTCTACAAGATTCTCAAGTATTCAAGCACATAAGTAATTTTGGGTTATCTAATGCAAACAGATTTTACTGGTCTAAGAAAATAACAGCTGATTTCCAGTATTTAGGTCTGTTTCTAAGAACCTCAGAACCACTTTCACTTCCAGTTATATTATCTCTTCCCACTCCCAACATATGCCCTGTTTTCTCATTTCTCTCACTCATATAATATAATTTTCTCTCTTTCTTTCACTGTATAGAGTAGAGAAGCACTGGATTTATTCAAATGTATTTCCAATCCTGGATCTCGAGCAGTTGCTTGCTATTGTAATTTTAGGGTACTACAAAGTCCTCACTCACCCTCACTCCAAATTATGTTCTTCCATGGATAAAAGGATAATGAGTGACTCACATTATGAAACAGTAGTATGAGCTTTATTGGTACATGTAAAAATGTGACATAAAAATGTTGTGGAATATTGTTTTAACTAGGCAAAGATTTGTTATATTGCTGCATGGGAGACCAGCCTCCAGCAGTGCAGGGCTTAAAAGGAATACATGGCTTCTGCATGTATTAAGACTTTTCTATCTGAGGGATTAAGGGAAAAAGACACTAATACTCTCTTGAAGTTTCCTTAAGACTTTTTCTTTATTCGAAAGTTTCCTTAAGACTTTTTCTTTATTCTTCTTTTGCATTTTTTATTCTTTATTTTACTGGTTGTTTCCTTCTCTCATTCCTGATGTTTTCCTTCTAACTCTATATTTGTTCTTGATGTTTCCTTTCCAGGTTCTTTTAACTCTTTAAATCTTGATGTTTTTCTTCTAATTCACTCATTCTTGATGTTTCTCTTCTAACTCAGTTAACACTCTCTAACTCTATCTCTATTCTTTCCCTTAGAGTTTATATACCCCAGCAAAATCTTTTAGGCAATATAAAAATTACAATGTGGTTATATTCAATTTTTCAGGTGAATGATTACAATGAATACAAAACAAGCTGTAAAAAACAGAATGTTTTAGATATCCCTTACATGTTTAAACATTTTATTTATCACAGGTGGAAAACAAATTATCTCAGGAATACACATACACGCATACCCTAGCAACTTGTTATAGATTAGCTGTGTAGGCAATCAAGATATTTTTTCTCAGTCAGGTCTTTTACTGGCAGGCTGCAGTTTCGCAGTTTTACAGTTCCAAAGAATGGGCTAATTACTTTATTAGGTATCTTGAAAGATAATCTTATGAGGAATCACAAACCTAAACTTGTGTATATGGAAAAGAATCAGTCAGCTTTATTTTAAGTCTTTGGGCTGCATACCCACTCACCAATAGTTTCTTATATCAGGAAATTGAGGGCAGGAATGGATACAAAGAATTAATCATCACCTCTGGTCATCAACCAATCCTAGCAAGAAAAGTGCATCAGCTAGTAAACATTGGACTTCTTTGTTCTTGTTCTCTGGCCTTAAAGAGTTCCACATTCACCTATGTGCCTTTCTAAACTTTAGATGATCTTCTTGGGTTTTTTACCTCAAAGCTGTTTGACAAAAACATGTTAGTCTAACTTTAAGTTATTTTCAAAGCTTTGTTTCAGCTGTGATGCATGCAAAACCTGTAAACAGATTTCCCAACATTAAGGTTAAAAGAGTTTCATCTAGTTGGGTTAACTGGGATTCAGTTATTTCTCTTAATCATTAATCTAAGCCACAGTCCATATGGCTCCTCAATAAAAACTCATGTGAAACAGTGTGACACTTTCTTGTTTATATTTTAATCATCAAATCTCCATTTAAACTAACATAGTTACTATCAATTAGACAGTACAGTTTAGGAAGAAATCATCTTCATAATAAATCCACATTTTAAAATGCCCAATGGATTGGGATGTTTCCATGATATAAACACACTACATTACAGGCAGTGAGGATCTCCCCAGACTCATTCGTACCATGCCAGATACCAGAGAAAGATAGCAGCCGCAAATATGTAAAAGCACAGCAGAAGCAAAAGACATTCTGGGGTTGTGTTCTCAGGGGCTTTGCCTAACAGAGATTCACCCATTAGGGAGTTTCCTCCTGTTGGGCTGACACCTTGAATTTCTTTTGCCACCTACTGCTCCTCTGACATGGCCACTGGCAGTGTTACATTTGTTTATACTGCAGAATATTACTTTAACTATGTGAAGGTATGTTACATTCCTTTGTGCTGCCTTTGTTAATGATGTAAAGACGTGTTACATTTGTTTGTGCTGCTTTTGTTAACTATGTAAAGCTGTGTTGTAGTTGCATTAATTAATAAGATTAACCTGAAGAAGAGGCAGGGTTTGCAACTGTTGGTTTTAATTTGGTGGTGTTGTGTTATTCATTAAGCGGCACTGCTGCCCTGTGAGAAAGGCCATGAGGCATGACAAAACCCACTATCAGAGCTTTATTAGGAGAAGAGAGGGACAGGAGAGAGTGTGACCTGGCCTGTGGTAGACATGTGCAGAGAGGGAGGGTGTAGAGGAAAAGGAGAAGAAAAAAGGGGAGGAGTCTGTGACCCCCTTCTTATGGATCCCCTGAAGCTCCACCTACGGGCTTATGGAGCTGCAACATGCATGTGCATAGATTGCATGATCACATTGCTCGCAAATTCCACAATCATGCAGCGCAAAGATTACATATGAATTAAGTCCCCTTGTTTGGCTACTGAACTGTGTATGTGTGGTCACGTAGCTGGGGGAGTGGCCAGGAATTCCAACAGCAACTGGTTGACAGGAAGTAGCAGGGAGGAGTTTATCATGGTCTTTTTAGTTGGGGTGGTGAGGAAGGGAGGGGCTTCTGGAAATGCCAGCAAAGAGAAAACGTTAACCAGTTGCTGTTCTAACTTTCCGATCTTGCAGGTTTTTACCCTAGCCTTTGAATATCGAGTTTTATGAAAACAATAGAGATTTAGTTAGAACTACCATTAGTGGCAGCAACAGAGCCATTATCTAAGGGAACAGATTACCCCCAGGCTATGGTGTTAGTGGCTGGGCCATTAGTAGTTTAACTTGCAGCCACTGTAATGAAGGTAAAACAGCAAAAAGAAAAAAAAAATGTGTTTACATTGTACGTGATTGTTTACTGAGTGACAGAAGAATTTTTTGTGGCACTGTAAATGGTATAAGTTTTAGAATGAGATATTTTCATTTTTAAAAATTGTCCTCTATGGCTTAAGTTGGTTTCAAAAATATTTCTCTTAGGTTGTTGCTTAAAAATACAAATTTTCATAAGTGTATATCATTGTGTGTGTTCTAATCTGCTTTTCTATTGCTGTGATAAAACTTGAAGAAAAGCAACTTGGGGAAGGAAAGGATTTATTTCATCTTATAAGATATGGTCCTGTTTTTGAGGGAAGTCACAGCATGAACTCAAGGCAGGAACTGGAGCAAGACCATGGTGGGATGGATGCTCCTTACTGGCTTGCTCTCCCTGTTCTCTCAGACCTTTCTTACACATCCCAGGACACCTGCCTAGGGATGACACTGCTCACAGTGGGCTGGCCCCTCCTATATCAATCATGAATCAAGACATATTTCACAAACCAATCTGCTGTAGTCAATTCCGCAGCTGAGATTCCCTCTTCTCCTGTATGTGTAAGTGTGTGTGGAGGTGACAAAAACTATGACAGCATTTTTTCTCCACATTTATCCCTTGCCCAACCTCTTTCTTCCCGCTGGTCCCCTTTCTTATCTTTTTTTTTTTTTTTTTTTTTTTAAGTCAACGCTTTTTATTATCAGTTACATGCTTTCATAGGTGTGGAGAATAGGCCAGGGTTGTAAAAAAAATGAGGTTTCTACACATTGCTCTATTTACACGCGGCTGAGGGGGTCCCACTTCAGGCACAGCAGCTGCACTTGTCCGAAGCCTCTTTGCAGATGCATCCCTGGGAGCACTTCGCACAGCCCACGGGGCAACAGGAGCAGCAGCTTTTCTTGCATGAGGTGCATTTGCACTCTTTGCATTTGCAAGACCCGGAGCAGGAGCAGGAGCCATCTGTGGCACAGGAGCAGTTAGGGTCCATGGCGAGTGGAGGAGGCGGCTGAAGACCGACGACGAGCCGGAATTGAAGTGCTAGGAGGAGGTGTGATCCCCTTTCTTATCTTAAATAGTTCCCTTCTACTTCTGTGCTCTCTCTCTCTCCCCACCCCTCCCTGTCTGTATGAGCATGTATAAACCTAGATTTCAAATGAACATGTGATATTTGTCTGTCTCTTGTCCCTTTTGTTTTCAGACCTTGTTCCCTCTTCCACAGCTTTATTCTCTTTCCTCCTCCCACTATCTAACCTACCTCCTTTCCCCATCCTACTTCTATGACATGTGTATCATATGCATGTATATAATACTAAATGTGTGAGGGGAAAGGAGATATTGTCTTATTTCATGTAACACAATGAGCTACAGTTCCATTAATTTCCCTAAACCCCTGCTCTGTGTATGTATCATCACCTTTACCATTCACCCATTGGAGAACATCTTGGCTGCTTCTGTAACTTGTCTGCTGTGACCAGTACATCAATAAACATGGTGTGCAAAAGTGTTTTCGTGATATGCTACTTAGAATCCTTCAGGTATATTATTATTTAGAGTAAATGTAGGATTGGGAATGAACACTATGACGGTGGAGAAATAGAAAGAAAAAATTTAGATGGAAATTAAAAATTTTTTAAAGGAAAATAATAAAAATGTTATAAAGGGGAGAAGAGCAAGAGATGAAAAGTATGATGACTCAGTAATGAAAATATTTGTACACAGATAACTGTAAGAAGTAGGATTAAAACAAAATCTTTTAAAAATTAAAGTCAAAACTCTACTAGTAACATTGTAACAAGAGGAGACAAATTGTGGGGGAGGATTAGAAATAATATAAAGGCACAGAATACTATGGTGGAATCTTTCTTGGTCTTCAAACGTTTTGAAGACTCTTGTCTTTCCTTTGCTTTCCTTTGGTTAAGATTGGTGTTGAGCCTGGGATAGGCATCTTCAGACAGTTGGGTGTGCTGTCTTCATCTTAATACTGTGTGTGTGTGTGTGTGTGTGTGTGTGTGTGTGTGTGTGTGTGTGTGTGTGTTATTTTAATAAATAACTAAAGTTAATGTGGAAAGAGTATTATTTGTGAGAACATTATGGTATTATCTATGCTAAAAAGCTTTTGCATCTCACAAATGTGCATATGGGAGCTATCTTCATTATTAAATTTTAGTTCTCCAATATCAAGTTCGAGGAAATGGCTTAGGTTTACAGAATTCAAAATTGTATAAACTTGGGCAAAGTCTTAGAGGACTTCCAGTCTTAGACGAGTAAACATCAGTAATTAAATCCACTGTGAATTTAAGTGTTGGGAGCAACTGAACCCAAAATAATATCAGATGAGATATTCTCATTTCTACACTTCTCAAACTGGCTCCTAAACATGGGATATATGGTATTGCTTCAAATCTAGCCCCACCCCACCTTCAACTACCGGCATCTTCTTAGTATACGTTCAACTGGAAAATTCTGAGATACCTTGTGCATTCTATCTGTTAGTAAACACAAACACTCTCCCTGAATTCTACAAGTTATTGATAATTTAGTTGTATTTAGTGCTTTTACTTTCATTTTTTCTTCTATATAAATGTCTTTGCTGAAGCACCTCTTACTTAGCTTCCTCAGCAGAAAGTATTTGCTAACGCTCTGGACCACCCAGGAAATCGGAGAGGTAAAGTCCAGGTGCAGAAGAAATAAATCAGAGCATCTAGATTCAGGACTGAAGAAGCCAAGTGCTCTTAACTTCACCCTAAGCAGCTTTCTTCCCAAAGCAGAAGGATTTCTGCTCCAGGTGAGTCAGGGGAACAGGGTGGGAAGGCTTGCAGGACCCTGCTGTTTACCTGGCAATAGTCTCTCCACAGGAGGCTGCTGTGCTGTGGATGTGGGTCAGCAGTGCACTTAGAATCCAGGGTTTGCAGGGAGGAGGGAATGCATCCCTTCAGTGCCTCTGTTTCCACTCAGCTCAATGGGCTCCAGCCAGTGGAGTCCAGAGAGGGCTGCAGACTTCAAGGTTCATAGTCCTTTACCTGGATGCATCTTAAATTATCTCTGCTGCCTAAAGATTCTCACAAAAACTCACCCACACTGATGCTAGTTTTTATACACTTGGAAGAAAGAAACCAGGCAACTTGGAGCTTGTAAAACAGATACTGGTTTTAAAGATTAATTTTTGTTATTTTGTGTGTGTGTGTGTGTGTGTGTGTGTGTGTGTGTGTGTGTGTGTGCGCGCGCGCGCGCGCGCGTGCACTCACATGTGCCTGAAGAAGCTATAACAGGCTTTGGCTCTCCTCGAGCTGGTGGTGCAAGTGATTGTGAGTTGCCTGACATCAATGCTGTGGACTGAACAAACGCTGAAAGAGTAACAGGTATTCTTAACCACTGAGCCACTTATCCAGTCATTTAGTCTGTGTCTTTTAACTTGCATATCAAGGACCTTTGCATTTAAAGTCACAGTTAAAAAGAGTTTTGCTATTATACATGATTATGTTTGCTGGTTTGGTTCATGAGTTAATTGACAGACCTTTTTTCCTCCCCATAATGTTGGGTGTTCAATGGTTTTCAGGGTTGGAGAATGATTAATTCATTATCACTTATCTTTTGCTCATCTGCTGCTTCCATGAAATGTATTCCTTCCTGTGTTCTCTTGTGTGAAACTGTTTCTGATCTTCCTCCTCTTCCTCTTCTCTTATTCCTCTGTAATAGTATTCTTTTAGGAATTTTCAGCTGTTCTAGCTCAGTTGCTGTGAATTACTGGAACTTATGTTTGTCTTTAAACATTCCTATTTTCCACCAATTTTAATAGAAATATTGATGACTGTAGCACTTTGTGCTGTCATTATTTACTTTCAAGGCATGAAATACATTCATTTCATGCTTCCTTGGATTTGGGAGTTGCTTACAGATCTAATGTCATTCTGATTTCTTTGTCTCTTATACTAAGTGAAGGTTTTCCCTAGTTTGTGGCTTTTCTATTTCCACTTTAAAAAATTTACATGAATCTCTGCTAGCTTGTCTTCCCTTAGGTTATATTAAGGGCAAAAGTTGACTTCAGCACCAACTGTGATAGTTTGATGGTTGTTCCAGTGTTCATTGCAGAAAACAACACTGTGTTCACTACGCTCTTGACTACAGGGAATTAAGAGAGCAGTGCAGGACCCTTAAAGGGAAAATGTAATGTATTTAAGTAGTGAAGACAATAGTGAATGGGCTAATGAATTAGAGTAAATAGAGTAAGAATGGGTAAAAAGCAATGGGTTTCATAAATGAAAAGCAGGAAGAAAATGTTCTACATCACACATGAAAAGCAGAGAGAAATGTTCTACATCAAATATTGAGAGAAGGAAAGACAAACATTTCCTAAGATATAAGATACAACAGATACATACTGAAGGGGCAGAAGGTAATTAAGTTACAAAAAATTTCAAAGAAATGTATCATCTTTTATATCTGTATATGTATATATTGTTGTACCCAGAGTGCCCCAAAGACCACCAAGAGACCAAATCCAATGCAAAAGCAAAGAGTCTCTGTATTGTTACCAGTTAACTTGGGACTCTGTCCATCTGACGCAGCAGCAGAGCAGGAGAGACCTCAAGTAGCAATGGGGCAGGGTTTTTAAAGCAAGAAGGGCTTGGGGTCTACAGACTATACAGGAACAGACTCAGGCTTGGTTTATGTGAATGGCAACCATGTTAGTAACTTTTAATTGTCTAGGGTTGAAAGACCCTAACCCTTCAGGCTTACACCCCCCAAGCCCCAGGAGAATAAGGAACTAAAAAGAAAACTAGTTCCAAGGGCAAGCTGACTCAGCCATTATTCAACCACCCCTGCAACAATGTAACAATGTAAAAAGATTTCTGTTAAGAGATATGCTCAACTGTGACTGGGATAGTTGCAAGTGTTCCAGGAAGGACCACTGTGACCTTTGTGTAAACTCCGTTCTCGCCCCGATACGCCCCCTTGACGTTTTGGGAAGAATGTACATGTGGATGTGACTGTACCCACTCTGTGCTCAGACCATGATCTTGTGAAACGAAATTGTATGGGAATTGTAATCTTATGGCTTTTGTGGGTTTTTCCTTTAAAAGTGCCCATGTGATTGCAATAGGTGTGACTCTTGCTCTTTGGAGCAGAGTTTGCCCGACTGTACAGCTGCATCAATAAACACCTCTTGCTATTGCATCAACTGGACCGGAGTCTGGGTTCTTGGGGCGCCCACTTGAGACCCAAGATTTTGGGGTCTAACAGGGTTAGTTGTGGATTACAGTTATCCATTTTTGGGCAGGCCTGGACAAGTCCCAGGTTTTGTCCTTGAGCTGCCATGGAGACTGGCTGGCCTATCATGCACTTGTTGCAGGGGCTACCTCAATGGCCCAGGCTGTCACACTGACCCATGCACATAGCTCTAAGTTGGTGAGGGGTCCCAGACAGTAAACAATTGGCTGAACCTTGAGTAGTCAGAGTATGTGCAGAAAGAGAGCTACTGCAAGGACTATGTCTTTTGTTCATGGCCCTCCCAGTAACTGCTTGCTCAAAACTCAGGAATCAGAAATTGAGGCCTGATATCTCAAAGAAGACTGAGCAGCCTGCTATGGCATTTGTTTGGTCCTTTCAGATATAACATTTTAAAATAGAATAACAAATTAAATAAACAGATTAAAAAGATATAAGCACAAATGAACAATGAAACAAAATAAAATCAAGGCTTCTGGTTAGAGTAGAGACTGTCCTCAGTGTTTTGCTTAGTCTGTCCATCAGAGTCCTTACACTAGCAAGTTCTGCCTCAAACATTCTTGGATCCATGTAGCTTCCCCAGCTATGACTTGGGTAGGGGATGTTGTAGATCTCTTAGCTCTGGACATCTTTACTACACTGGACTTCTTTACTATCCTTCTGCTTCTAGTTCCACTGTCTCTGTGACTTGGAATCTACTCCAATTCAACCCACAGTAGGTACCACATACTGCTGAGGGATTCTAGAAACTCCATTACCAGACCAGGAGTCCATTGCTCTTAGGGAAATACCATACCAGTTTCTAGGATTGGCCAGCATTTTCCCGGGGCTGAAACATGTCTCATGCTGGGGGCCAATTTCCAAAGCAAGGGTCAGTATGCTGTGGTCCTTCTAGCTCCAGTGTTTATACCTTCTCATTCCAGACTCTCTCCAGGGCACAGCTCTGCCAAGGAGGGCTGGGCGGGAAGCTCTGCTTCTCTGCTGCCACCACACAAAGGGAATTATTATTATTATTTTTTTTTTTTTTTTGGTTTTTCGAGACAGGGTTTCTCTGTGTAGCTTTGCGCCTCTCCTGGAACTCACTTGGTAGCCCAGGCTGGCCTCGAACTCACAGAGATCCACCTGGCTCTGCCTCCCGAGTGCTGGGATTAAAGGCATGCGCCACCACCGCCCGGCTTAAAGGGAATTATTTTTCCAACTGTTGGTAGCAGCTTGTGTCCATTAACAACTACAGGAGAATAGATGCCCAAAACCCTTCTTTTGATCACTAAGGATAGCAGATGCACTGGCTGGTTTTGTGTGTCAACTTAACACAAGCCACAGTCAGCAAAGAGGAATGATCCTCATTGAGGAAATGCCTCCATGAGATCCAGCTATAAGGCATTTTCTCAATTAGTAATCCATGGGGGTGGGCCTAGCTCATTGTGAGTGGTGCAATCTTTTGGCTGATGGTCCTGGGTTCCATAAGAATGCAGGCTGAAGAGCCAGCGGAAGCAAACCAGTAAGCAGCACCATTCCATGGCCTCTGCATTAGTTCCTGCCTCCAGGATCCTGCCCAGTTTGAGTTCCTGTTCTGACATCAAGCATTGTTGATCAGTGGAAGTGTAAGCCTAGTAAACACTTTCCTTCCCAACTGCTTTTTGGTCATGGTGTTTCACTACAGCAATAGAGATCCTAACTAAGACAGCAGAGTATCAATTCTGTGACCTTCTTGCCAAACAAATAAGAATAATAAACACATCCCAAACCAAATTGGACAAACATCAGGAAAAAAAGTGAGGGGTATTCTACAAGATGACTGGCTTACACTCTTCTAAAATTCCCAAGCAATGATAAGGAATAAAAGCCCCTGAAGATGAGAGGAAGCTAGTGAGACATCTGGTGATTAATGAGAGATTCCGGATTCAGTCATGCAGCAAGAAATGGACATTAATAGAAAGCAGATTTAAAGTAAGTAGGAATCCATGGCCTGCAGGTTGATTGAGGGATAATAAAAATGTTCCAATTCAGGCTTCTACCATGTTACTGTGATTACAGAAAATATTAGATCTACAAAGTCTTACATGGAATTGCTAAAACAGTTCAATTTTCATGGATATCTATGTACTTCAAAATCCAAGTAGTTTTAAATGGAAATAATTAACCTTTAGTACAGTCATAAAGGCCTCTAGGACATTTAAAAATATGCAAAGTACAAATTCTAAGTATATAACATTTTAGTTCATGTTATTTTTAATAATAATTTTTTGAAATTTATATATAATTATATCATTTCTCCCCTTCCACTCCTCTCTACAACAATGTCTGTAATTAATAACCCTTTGGTCTCTCTCAAATCCGTAGCCTCTTTTTCTTTAATTCTTGTTACACACACACACACACACACACACACACACACACACACACACACACATACACAAACACTTTTTGAGATCTATAAACACAATCTGTCTCATCTCTATAATGTTACTTGGATATATATAATTTCAGAATTGACCACTTAGTATTGTATAACCAACTGGGCAGTTCTTGCATGGGGAAGACTATTTATTCCAATTTCAGCATTCCTTAGTTGTTTATAATGCTTTGTTTAGGGTTCAGGCCCATTAGGTTTTCCCCTTTGATGTTAGCTATTGATGTTGTACTTCTTTGGGTCTTGTTTAGGCAGCCAAGTTGTTGAGACTTCCTAGCTTCCCTGTCATTTCTAGGAGTCTCAATCTCACTCCAGACTTCCTGGTTTTCTGACTCTTAATCTTTTTACTCCTCTCCCCTCTTCCTTGTTCCCTGAACTTTAAGTTCAGGAGTTATGTTACAGATGTATCAGCTAGGGCTGGGTACCAGAGATTCACTTGTTCTCTGGGCTTTGATCATAGTTTTTTGTATTGATCTCCATCTGTTGCAAAGAGAGTTTCTGTGATGATTGATGAGAGCTGCATTTATCTGTGGAATAAGGATAAATATTTAAAATGCAGTTAAGAATTAGGCTGGTTGAGTAAAGGGGCAATAGTACAGTCTCCTCCAAGATCCATGGCTTCACTAGCCTCAGGTAGTTGGGTACGTTCCCAGACAATTATGCATGCCACCATTAAACTCTTAGGTTTATAATGCAATGCTTGTCATAGTCCATGTCATTGAGTTGAGTTCTCCTAACTAACACAGAACTTTCCCCTCTTTTATTATTTCTTGCAAACTTAAGAGTCCTACAGAAATGGCCTCAGAGATCAACATGCCAGGCCCAGTGTGCCTCATCGAGAACTCTGACCGGAAGCTCTGGATATCCTGTCTGCTATCAAGCAGCCTGTGGTGGTGGTGGTAGAAATAGTAGGCTTCTACCGCACAAGAAAATCCTACCTGATGAACCGGCTAGCTGGAAAGCAGAGTGGTGAGTGCCGCCAGCAAAGCTCTGCTGAGTTCCCCCTGCCTACTCCCACTGTCAGCATCCAGAGATGAGGAGGAAAATCAGAGACACAGGTGATGTGGGATGATTTGTGTCCATCAGAAGGCTTTTTCTTCTCTGAATTAGTCTTCTCATTGGTTCCTCCCACACTCCTATTATTTCCTCATTTAAAGGTATAAGTGTGTTTTAATAAAAGAAACAATACATTCATAGAGTAAGTCAACTTACTTTATGATGAATTATAACATATTTATTAGAATGTTCATCTAGGAAGAGTCATCTGGTGTCTAAGGTAGAAATGAATGATTGCTCAGCATGGATGTTCTGCCATCCTTTTCTTTAGACTTGTAATTAAAACCAACAGTTATAGCTAGTTGTGCTCCTGTAAATGTTAAATGTGTTAACTCTGATGAGATTTCAGGAAAAATGTTCTGTTTATCTCCTCATCTCATCCCCACTCTGTTTGCAGGGTTCTCCATGGGCTCCACGGTGCAGCCTCACACTAAGGGGATCTGGATGTAGTGTGTGCCTCATCCTCAGAAACCAGGACACACTCTAGTTCTGCTTGACACTGAGGGCTTAGGAGATGTAGAGAAGGTACAAATACTCTTTCAAATTTGACTAATGGTGCATCAGTACCCCACCTTATATCCTTCAATCACAATCTTTCATTTATGCTCATGGTGAATCAAATTAGTATATCATTCTTCAAATCACCTGACATAGGAAGCAAGAGTAGACCCTAAAGTCAACTTATTAGTATCCAGTCATCCTTCATAGTAATAATGGACAATATTTTTTGTGGTTTTTCTTTTATACCATTACACAAAGTTTTGGCGAGATTCTTAATGGTGTCTCTAAATTTGGCTATACATTTTCTGATCATGCATGATTCTTAAGTGAGAATCTGTGGAAAGGCTATGAATTGTAACTTCTACACAATATTATCAGTGAGAGAAAAACAAGATTTGTGTTTTAGGTAATGCTCTATTTCTGTGAACAGACACCATATTCAGGGCAACGATTTTTAAGGCATTTAACTATGGGCTTGGCTTGCTCACAGTTTCAGAGGCTTAGTCTATTATCATCATGGCAGTAAAAATGGCAGGCAAGGTGATGGAATAGTGGCTGAAAGCTACATCCTGATCCATAGGCAGCAGGGTGAGAGAGAGAGAGAGAGAAAGAGAGAGAGAGAGAGACAGAGACAGAGACAGAGACAGAGAGACAGAGATAGAGACAGAGTAAAAGAGACAAAGACAGAGAGAGGGAGGGAGGGAGGGACGGGGGGGAGAGAGAGAGAGAGAGAGAGAGAGAGAGAGAGAGAGAACTCCTGCCATGGCCTTTGAAACCTCAAATCCACCCCCAGTGACAAAAATAAAGCAACATCTCCTAATTATTCTAATTCTTTCAAACTTTTCCTCTCCACCCATGGTGACTAAGCATTTAAACATATGAGCCTATGAAGGCCATTCTCTTCCAAACAGCACAATTTGTAAAAACATCATTTTTCATGGAGGATCACATTACCACTCTTCCCAGTCTGAGACACATAAAACTCTATTAAAGGACCTTATTTTCACTAGTGTTAAAATGTCCCATTTTTGTTTTAAACAAAATAGCCCCCAAAGGGTGTGGCAGTATCAGGAGGTGTGGCTTTTGGGTTAGTTGTGGCCTTGTTGGATAAAATGTGTCACTGTGGAGACAGGCTTTGAGGTCTTATATATGTTCAAGCCATGCTCAGTGTGAGAGACCACTTTCTGTTGCCAGCATAAGACATAAAACTTTCAGCTACCTCTCCAGTACCATGTCTGCCTGTGTGCTTCCATGTGCCACCATGATGATAATGGACTGAACCTCTGAAAAGTAAGCCACCAATCAAATGCTTTCCTTTATAAGAGTTGTCTGGTCATAGTGTCTCTTCACAGCAATGGAAACACTAACTAGCATAGCCCCTTACAATAAAATAGTCTGTGTGTGAAACCCAGCATGGCAGTGTAGATTTAGTAACTGATCAACATTATGACCTTTAAGTGTGAATGTCCTTGAAGCTTTCATATACTGGGGTGTACATCATCTTATTTAAATTTTAGAGGATAAATTGAACATTCATAAAATCATTTCACACGTCGAGAATTATTATGTAGTAGAAATGACTTACCTTTGATGCCATATTTAATGGAAGACAGACAAAGCCTCATCTTTGGTTACTTGAGAGGATGGACAGTCTCTTAGTCACTCTTATTTACTCACTGACCTGTAGGAAGACAACCAGAATGACTGCTGGATCTTTGCCTTGGTAGTCCTCCTCAGCAGCACTTTCATCTTCAACAGCATGGGAACCATCAACCAGCAGGCCATGGACCAACTGCAGTATCCTTTTGGTGTGGTCTAGAAAAGTAGTTAAACCTAGGAAGAGCAGCTTCTTATTTCCTCAGGTAGACAGGCAAATAAGGACTGAGGGAATGAGATAACCCTTTTCTCCTTACCATTTGGATTTATTTCAGTTTCCACCACAAGTTCTCAATTTCTTGGTCCATATGACCTTAAACACTGCCACATATTGCTCAGAAAATCCATATTTAGATTAATATCCCACTTATGTCCAAATTCTCAATATCAGTTAAAACTTCTGTCCTTGCAAATCACCATTCCTGTCAGTACCTCTAAGTATTACCACTTAACTACCCAGCTATATGTTGTAGGTAACATCTCCTGAAATCTCTCAGTTGTTCTGTAACATTGTCTCTTTTATTTGTTTGTTTTAGCTCTCACTTTGCATGTTATGGAACTCTAGAGTAGACAGGCATGCTTCTTTCTCCTATTTATACTGTGCAGCATTTTTCTTATTCTTATGTCAATAAACAGAAAAACAGAGTCTATGAAGCGTGGGCTTTCAGAGCATGGCCCTTTACATCCAGTCTTCTTTTTCAACCATCCACTTAATACAACATTTTTGTCAAAAGTACCGAAACTGTACTTTCTAAAGACTAGAAACCAGAAGACACTTGTGTATACATGGTATCCCTGTTCCTCACCTCACTGTTTCCATCCTTACGACCTTATCTATTTCATTATCACCTATTGCTCCTTTTCCATGACCTTAACATTAAATATTGAGCTCAATTGACTCCTTATCCAGTGGACAATTGTAGTATTTGGTCTCAGCAGATGCCATAAATGGAGCACTTCCTCCTTTCTGCATGACTTGGCTCTTAGATCTAGAGTTTCTAACTGTTCTGGTGTTCTACCTACCATACCAGCCAACTTTTTCTGTTTATGTTTTCTTCTTTTTGTGGCCTCTAAGTGTACAACTCACTAGTTACTGTGCCTCTGCTATCCTTGTTTTACTTTGTGTCTCTAGGTGCTGTCATTTAGCCTCAAGGCCTATGAAGTACCTATGTGACAGTTGCCATCAAGTTTATAGTTATGATGACATTCAGTCTTTTGCAATTAGCTGCCTTCTTGCAGACATCTAGAGACAATTCAAACTCAAATCTACCGAATCTCTTCTTCCTCCATGTTTCTTATTATGCCAAATGTTCCCATTATTTGCCAAATTGCTCAGATTAAAATATAGAAATCACTTGATATAACCATTTTCTAGTACACTAGAAATCATTACTACCCAAATGTTCTCAATTCCATTAGCAAACCTATTTTCCTACACTGTCACTTTCTCTACATATCTTCCACAACATTTCTAGTCTAAGCTCTTTTTGTCTCTTGTCTTGAACATGTCAACTGCCAAATTATTGTTTGCTTATACTTTTGATTCCCAGGTACATTCCCAGGCAGTATGATCTTCAGAAATGATGCTGTTTCATATCTTCTCTACATAAAGTCTGGCAGTACCTTTCTATTAGTGCAAATCAAACTGAAGAGTTGGGTCTGTCTAACTTAAATGTCATACATGTAAGTCTTTTGGGACTTCTGCTCCACCACAGCAGCAACAATGATTTATACTCACCATATAATCATGTTTTCCTGTTTAAGGGTTTACTAATAATGTGACCTTTGTTTGTAATGTTCTTCCACTATACTTCCCATGGTTGGATCTGTTGATTCATTTGGATTCCTGATAACCTAGGATTTCAGAGTGCACAAGTAGCCCTTTGAAGAATTCTGTGAGCAATGCAGATTTGTGCATTGATTCACTATTTCTTGTGTTAGTTCATTTTTATGCATCATAATTCTTGACTGTATATGAGGATGTTTTGTATTTTTATTCACTTATTTATTGTTTGTCTCTTTGTTTAGACACAAACTCTGTGTATCCGTATTCTCTCACCTTTTTAAAAATTTTGTTCCCAGTATGGTGCTTGTTCCATAGAAGACATTAAATGGATGTTTGTGACTGAGTGAATTCTGAAAATGAATAAGCTAACAAATAAATATAATATAGTTTTCAAGGGTAATGGTGGAATCTACATCATAAAAATGGCTTTTTCCCTGTAGTTCTCTTAACTTAGCATGACAGCTATGTGACAGAGCTGACTGATCTAATCAAATCAAAGTCTTCACCTGAGCAGAGTGGCATAGATGACCCAACCTACTTTGTGGGCTTCTTTCCAACCTTTGTGTGGACCCTGAGGGATTTCTCCCTGAAGCTGGAAGCTAATGGAAAACCTGTCACTCCTGATGAATACCTGGAGAATACACTGGCTCTGAGAAAAGGTGAATGGGCTCAATGGAAGTTTGAGATATAATGATAACAATAGCATAAGTGTGACTTCTGAACTCTTGGTAAAGTTCTTGATCCTATACTTAAGCTATCCTCACTGCTGTTATATGTATTGAAAACACAGTTTGGCTGAATTTAAACTGTACCATCCATAGCTTCTTATAGAAAGGGTGTTTTCTTTTCCATTCCTTTAATTTTTAAATTGCTCATTCCACATTGTTATTTTCTCCCTTTCTTTGGGAAAGTTGTAATATTGGAAGGGTCATGTGTTTTATATTATTCATTTGAAATTTCTTGTATCTAATTTATCCTTCCTTAAGGAACTGATGAGAAAACTAAAAGATTTAATGAGCCTCAGCTATGCATCAGGAAGTTCTTCCCACAGAGGAAGTGCTTCGTCTTCGACAGGCCTGCTCAGGTGAATCAACTTTCTGAACTAGAAACAGTTCTGAAGGATGAGCTGAGTACAGACTTTGTAAAACAAGTTGTAAAATTCACCTCATATATCTTCAACTGTTCTGGTGTCAAGACCCTGTCTGGTGGCATCTTAGTCAACGGGCCACGTAAGTCATCCCCTCTACTTCCTACCTGGGCTTCTGTTCTGCTCATTGTAGGATACTGAGAGAACTACTTCCAACCAGACCAAACACCATTTATCATGTGATGGAATATATTTGAGAGCTAAATCTATTTCTTACAATCTCTTATCTATCATGGCAAGGGGAGTCACAGAAAGTAATGAAGCCCAGGAAACAATTTCCCCTTGCTCATGGTTTCCTACTAAAGAATAGGTTACCTGAAAATCACAAAAAAGCAAACAACATATAGAACAAGTATAATAGAGTAAGGCCTAAGACAGGATACAACTTTTCAACTTCAGGTAAGTAAGAGTTATGTGACTTAAAGAAGAAAATGCATGACAACATCTCTTATTGGAGAACTATGGAACAGTAGCCAATATGGAGTGGTGATGTCCTGATAGAATAGAAACATGATTTAAGGAGTTTATAGTTGTTTCCAAGCTTTGTGGGAAGGTCTCTAATTTATAGATGTATAATTGTCAAGTATTTTGTGCATAATGCTTTGCAGTTCTAAAAGGGGAGGGGTTGAGAAGATAAACTCTGTTTAATGGATTAAAACCAATGGTCATTGGGTTAGGCTAAAATTATGGCATTAGAAATGGTTGAAATGAGATGGAAGCTAATATAATTTGATGTAAAATCTAAAAGTTTTTATTAAGGTGAAATATGACAATGTGGTAGGACTAAGAAGTTACTACAAATATGTCACCTGAGATTGAAGCTCAGCACATCTTTCATGTCGTATCATTTTTTGAGATGATAACATCATGAAGAAGTATTAGGTTTTTTTTAGAGCAGGAGAAGTTGTTTGTTTTTGAATAATTTAATGAGGACTTTTCCCTGATATATAATAAGGAACACCATGCTGTCATGCAGCTTCCTAGCCAGGAATGTAGGTCAGAATTGTAGAATGGTTTACTAACATTCACAAAGTACTTGGTTTGATACCACATGAACTAATATGGCTGTGAAAACCTGTAATCTTAGTGCTGCTGGGGCAGAGGCAGGAGGATCCTTAACAGAAATACAAGGTAGGCATTGGCTAAGTATCAAGGTTAAGGGAAGTCTGAGAAACTTTAGACTATTTCAATAAACAAAAAAAAGTAAATGAACACACACACACACACACACACACACACACACACACACACATTCAACATGTAAACAAAGATTTAAAAAGAAAAAAATACACAATTCATTCCAACTAAAGAAACAGAAAAAAAGTGCAGGATGAACTGTAGCATGAATCATAAATGGTCTTATTAATAAAAACAAACCTGAAGCCAGGTATTGGGGTGAATGCTGAGTGATCAGAGAAGCAGAACAAGCGACAGCCACCGAACCTTGCCAATTCATCAGCTGATCCTGTATCCTCGAACTAGAAGCCTCTGTATCCTCATCCGAATGGATCTCAGCTGAACTTCTGCTCAGAAGCCTAAAAACTTAACCAGCTTAGTTCCTGGTTTTCATACATTATATACCTTTCTGCTTTCTGCCATCACTTCCTGGGATTAAAGGCATGAGTCACCATGCCTGACTGTTTCCAGTGTGGCTTTGAACTCACAGAGATGGATCTCTGCCTTAAGAATGCTAGGATTAAAGGTGTGTGTGTGTGTGTGTGTGTGTGTGTGTGTGTGTGTGTGTGTGTGCACGCCACCATTTTCTGGCCTCTGTATCTAGTGGCCATTCTCTTCTCTGACCCCAGATAAGGTTATTAGGATATACAATATATTGGGGAAGACAATATCATCACAATGGATGCACAGAGAACTCTTAGGCAGGAAGGACCTAAAGCTGGTTTTTTTTTGCCTGAGAACTCATACCTGGGATGTGGTACTTCCAGGCTTACAAACAGCAAAGATGTGAGGAACCTAGATGGCTGGTTATTCTATAGCTTTTAGAAAAAACAAATCTGGATATACCTATTTACACAGTGTAGAAACAGGACTAGTAGCATGCCTCACAAAAAAGAAAGGAAAGAAGGAAGGATGTTTATTATAAAAATGCATGTGTTTGATCAGTGATGAGTCCTTCCTGATTAGCAAGCCCAGATCTTACTAATGATAGTAATAATAGTTGAGGTCAAGAATTCTAGTGAGGGGAAAGTTTTAGGAAATAGACATCTTCATATCTAAGTTACTTTCAGAAAGTAATATATGTAGATATTCTATTCCATTATGCTTTCTAAATGATGAAATGCCCATCATTATCACCTTCATCTTTCTTTATCACCACAGTGACAAAAACCATATAAAATATGAAAAGCATTTATTCTTTTATTGAGTACTTCAAGTAAAGTCCTGGACTTAGTATTTTGTGTTACCTCATAATCTGACTAAAAACCTCTGAAATTGGTATTGCTCATCCTGTTTCAGAAACAAGGAATCATTGATTTACAAATGTTAAGATCACAAAAGAACAGAATGGTGGGTTCAGGAAGTCCACAGGAGTCTGATCTGAGCTATCCCTAAAATTAGAGACTTGACAAGACAAAGGTTTCCTGTGGAGTAGTATTTGTGCTTTGATAATTACTTCCTAAATCAGGAAGGTAGGCAGAAGGAGGAGAACAAGGAGGTGCCTTCGGGAAATTGCAAACTAAAGGACCAGTTTCTGTAGGGACACCATGAGATTTACAGTGAAGTGAAGAGCATGGCCCCATTTAGACATTCTCCAGTACTCTTCTGTGTTAACTTCCTTCTCTCAAGCATCTGTGTGATTTTTTTCCTTTCCCAGGACAAGCTGGACGCCAGGCTGGATGCCTTTATTAAGAAGCTCATGGACCTGTCATCAGCTCATTGCTCAGATTTGCTGGAGGGGATCTTTGGTCCTCTGGAAGAAGAAGTGAAGCAGGGGACATTTTCTAAACCAGGAGGTTACTACCTCTTTCTTCAAAAGAAACAAGAGCTGGAGAAAAAGTATATCCAGGCTCTTGGGAAAAGGCTCCAGGTAAACTGAGGTAGTTGGCACCATTTTGGGGGGCATTGTTGTGATTGAATGAGAATGACCCCCATGGACTCGTGTGTTTTGATGCTTAGTCACAAGAGAATGAAACTATTTGATGAGGATTAGGAAGTCTGGCTTTGTTGGAGTTGATGTGTCCTTGACGGAGAGATTGTGTCACTGGGAGCTGCCTTTGAGGTTTGAAAAGCCCATGCCAGGCCCAGTATCTCTCTCTCTTGGGCTGTCCCCTGCAGCTCAGGATATAAATAAAGATCTCAGCTACTTTTCCAGCACCACACCTGCCTGTGTGTCACTGTACTCCTCACCATGATGATAATGGACTAACCCTCCGAAGCTGTAAACAAGCCCCAAATTAAATGTATCCTTAAGACTTGCCTTGGTCATGGTGTCTCTTCACATCAATAGAATAGTACCTAAGACACTGATGCTTCAAATCTCCTACTGACTTTCTCACTTATCCAAATAAACATCAGGTCTTTTTGAGTGCCCTCCAAGACACCCACTGACTTATCTGACTTCTGGCCTGTCACTTTATGTCTTGATTTTTTTTTTTTAACCACTGAATATATATAACTATTAAAAAACATCAATTTATTCTTATGTAAGCTTTCTGGTTTCTGATAGTTCCATTTCCTTCATAGCCATTTGTATCTCTGTCTAACTTCTTCTTTAAAGATTCAGTTCAACTTTCTTATCTGATATCATGGGTAAAATATACTGCTTTGTATATATTATTCTTTGTACAGCAGGGGTGGAATTAAATTCTAGTCAAAATCACATAATCATATGATCACTAGCAGTGGCTTTAGAGCATGAATACAGTCCGGAAAAGGGCACAATGAATGGAGTCACCTGTTAGTAAAGCTTGAACCATCAGAAATGATCAAGTCTGAGGAGACCTCAGGTTGATTTTAAAACCTTAAACTTGAAATACTTTTTGAATCACAAAGTATTTGTTCAGAGCTGATAGCATTATTTTGAATTAAGAGATGCAAGGCATGATTTGTCTTTAACTCATACTCTTATTTTCTCATTCTAATTTCTTTTGTCATCCAGGCTGAAGAGATGCTGAAAAAGTACTTTGAGTCCAAGGAGGATGTGGCTGAAACACTTCTAAAAACAGATCAGTCACTCACAGAAAAGGAAAAGGAGATAGAAGGTGAGGGCTGCTGAGAAGACTCCAGATGTTGGAAATTATTGCCATGTGCTGCAATATTGGTCCACATGAGGTTATCATGGCAGAGAATGACAAATGTCAGTCTCAGTTTCATGGTGGCTGTTTTTAAACCAGTAGATGCGGCCATCTCCCTCCTTGTTGACTGATTAATACAGCAAAGATTCCACAGGAAAGTTTTGTCAATGACGGGATTATTTTCCCAAGGTGGTAAAAGACAAAAGCAGCTAATATATTTCACTTGATGCATTCTTTGCATTTTCTTTTGTCAGCGGAACCTATAAAGGCTGAAGCTGCAGAGGCTGCAAACAGAGAATTGAAGGAAATGCAAAAGAAGCTTGAGCTGATGATGGAAGAGAAGGAAAGGAGTTACCAGGAGCATGTGAAACAGCTGACTGAGAAGATGGAGAAGGAACAGGAGGTGATGAGGGCAAGAACAAGAATCATATCCCTTAGACTTAAGGTACCTGGCTGCACCAGTTTAATTTTCCGTTTCTGCAGTCCAGTCAACAATGTATATCAGGAACCTGAGGCCTTGGGCTCACAAGGCCAAGGCTTGACTGGATTGTGACTGGAGACTCTGTTCTTCCCTCCCCAAATTACAAGGGTAATAACACAAAATCCTCCCAAGTGGAGTGAATTGTTCCCATACTCTATGCTATCATCCCCTCACTGCTTTTTCTCAAGCCACCTCTGGCTCTTTAAGGCTCTTCATCTATTGCTAGATGAAACCCTTTATCAGGGTGCCTCCATTAAACAGTAGTTTTGAATCACAGATTCTCTTAATATGTTTTGTAGGATTTCTGTGACAAAATCTTCAACTAACCTGTCAAGGACTTTTTTTTTCTCATGTGCTACATGGAGAAATTGTACTTTCTACATGTAAAATGACTTTTTTTTTGCATCAAACTATATGATATAATATCCAGCTCCTCTCTTTTCTACTGAGTGGCACCCATAGAAAATTTGTTCCTACTACATCTAGCATGACCTTATCTCTGGAAGCATCCTAAAGAGTAGAGACAGTCCCAAACCTTCAAGAAAAATGGGTAAATGCTCACATGGCCAGAACATCTGTTTTCTGAGCATCCCTCCACATTTGTACCTAGGCTCCAGGGTTTTTAATAGAATGGTGTGTGAGCACTGAGGACCCCAGTTGCTTCAACATATTTGTCTTGGACACTAAAATTTTGGACATGTCCTAAATTCCTTGAATGAATGCCTGCCCTAATTCTGACTCAGGCAGTGACCTTCATTTGGTTCTTTGCCCATTTTTATCAGCTTTTAAATGTGTTTGAGAGTGCACACCACACAGATCACAGATGAGGCGAGAAAGAAGGGGGAAATTGGTGTTGATTTTGTAGAAAATTGTGTTTTACCTGAGTCAAAGAATCCAAGAATTGGACCTGAGAGTTGTGGGACACTGGTGTCCTAGGATCTGTTAGACAACATTTCTAAAACTGGAGAAAGCACAGAAATTTAATGCCATATGTAGGAGATGGGTAGGAAATATTGACATTAAGGAAGGAAAAGATTTTGAAAAAAATATCAATTTTCCCCCAGGGTTAGTTATAGCTGTCAAAGGAGAGTCTGTGAGACACTCTGAGGAACATGGGAAGCTGTCTGAGTTCACAGTTTCCATCTCCATTTTAGGAGCAGGAACGGCTTTTCAAGGAAGGATTTGAGAATGAGAGCAGGAAACTTCGTGAAGAGATCGAGGAAATCAAGAAACCTATACTACCATGCACCATACTCTAAAATTCAAACCAACTAAACCTCTGTACCCAGGTCTGACTCATCAAGGAATTTTCTGTGGGGTCAACTTTGGACTGTGAAGCATTTGACACTGAACTACACTTTAAAGCATGGCGCTTTATTGGGAGAGGGTAGAAATAAAATTAACAAAGTGAAGTTTAAGTATAAAAATAGTGTTTTGCTTATGAAGTTATTCAGTTCATGTTTATATTACAACTAAAGAGCAATGTGATATTTAATTGGATCTTATATTTGAAATTATAAACATAGACTCCATAGAGATATAAAATTGTATCATTGGAATTTTTTTATAGCACAGTGATATGGCAGGTCTCTTTGGGTAGACATTTTTGCATCACACACCCTTCTAGATATTCTTAGCTGCATGCTCATAAGCAATTCAAAGGTTTAACTTTGTCCTAAGCTGAGATTGACATGTTGTAAATGTGAGAAAAATATGAACAAACCCATAGGACACAGTGGACATTCCCATCCATTTTGTGCTCATAGGACTTAATGATGTCTACAGATAAGGGGAGTGTGGGCCCTGATATTTTTTCCAAATGTAAACACTGGGCATTTCTCATTGTGGGAAGGCTGTGTGGCTTCTGCATGAGCAGAGAAAGACCACTAGACATTAGCAGAGAAAATTTCCCTCCCTGCAGAATACATGTGCGAGTGGAAGTTTCCCTTCCCCTGTTCAGAGGCCTTCTTGGCCTGAATCATGCTCCAGCCAACTATGTTTCCTTCCTCTCTTCCCTCTTTTTAATATTTTAAAAGTTTTACTTCTTCTTACAGTTTTAGAATGACTTCTACCATCATAGAATGGGGAACTCAAAATAAATTCCTTTTTATTCTTCCAAGGATCATAATCACAGTTTCACCTGTCCTGAAATTCATCTCCATTTTGATCTATGTTGTACTACTATGACATAATTTGCAAGTCTCTGAGGATAATTGACTTGTACAAAAACCAGAAGTACAGGTTAAGTGAAAACTGTGAATAAAAATGATCAACCTACTGTAATTGTTTCAAATGTGTGCTGTACATTGTTCATGAAGTCACAGAATCCTCTCCTAAATTCAATAAGAAGAGAGTTAATTTGAAGGGAGGCAATTTGAAGACTGTTAGCCGTCACAGTCTCCCAATGATGAGAGCATTGGTTCTGCATCTAAACATTCAGAATAAAAGCACCACACAAGGAAAATGTCGAAGTTGTGGGTCTCACCACTCTCATGGAATATAGAAACACAAAAATACTTTCTGAGTAATTCTTTTGCAGGTGCTGGCATCAAACCCAGGGCTTTGGTAGACACAATTCTGATGAGACATTAACATATAGAATAATGGCAGTGGTATAGTGTTTCCTCAACATACTTTTGAGTGCACACTGCTGTCATGTGGGCTTGTGGAAATGGATCAACACTTGTAGCTGGAAAATTAAGAATCGGTCCTATTGTCTGATTTGTGTTAAGTCAGATGGAAGGTTTTAAGTGCTAGTCAGTTAGGAGATCAGCACGAGGGTTAATTAGATGTCTCCCAAACTTCAAACCACCATTTCAGATGCTGTTCACAGCCCCAGTGAGGCTTGTCAATGCCATGGCCATTCCCAGACTGTGGACACAGTCCAGAGGCTCACAGACATCTCATAGGTTTAGAGCTGGCAGTGGCTTGCCCAGGCCTCTGAGATGTTGTTCACACTCAGGGGTTTAGAAAAGGACTCTGACTCACTTGTCTCTAAGGAAACATGCTCCAAAGAAGACTGGAGAACCTGCCCCAGAGCTTAGGAACACACATGCTGTGCAGACACTGGAAACCCCTCAGCTTAGATACAAGCCCCAAAATCCTTTGTGTTTACTCTTAAGTGCCACATGGTTGACAAATATTCTAGTGGTGGTAAATTGTTTGGGGCTTGCATAATGTTAAAAGATTTCACTAGTCCAAAAGGAAAACAAACCAGCTGATTTCCCAGCATTTGATATGTTTAAAACAACTCAGACTCACTTTCACATTCAGTAATATTTTCTCTTCCTTCCTCCCTCCCTCCCTTCTTCCCTCCCTCCCTCCCCTCCCCTCTCTCTCCTTCCTCCCTCTCTCTCTTTTCACCCTCCTCCCTCATGGTTCCCTCTAACTCTACCTTTTTATTTCTTTCCATCTTTATGCTTTCACAGTATAGAGAAACAGTTTTTAAATACATTCATGTTCTACTCTGAATTGCACAATCTCCTGCTACCTTTGTGTAGCTCAGTGGGGTAGGCAACTCACAAAAACACACACTAACAGACCAAAACAGGACAGAAAGGTGACAGGGAGTGACTTCAGAATAAGCCCTCTTCAGTAAATGCATCACCTTAGATTCCTAAACATCCACAAAGACTCTGGAGTTAAACTGCACCATTTATCAGTCTCTAGTTGACAAATCTCCTGAGGCCTTCCCATCAGCATATCCCTCACTCCTATCAAGCAGTTGAGTTGTTTCTTCCTGTTCGGTGTTTTTACTTTCTTTTTATAAAGTTTTTTTTTTAATTATTAAGAGAATTTCCATTCACTTTACATACCAACCACAGATTCTCCTCTCCTCCTTCCCAACCCACCCTGCCTTCCCACCTCCTCCAAGGCAAGGTCTCCCATGGGGAGTCAGCAGAGCCTGGTACATTCATATGAGGCAGGTCCAAGCCCCTCCTCCCCGCACCAAGGCTGGGCAAAATGTCCCAAAATAGACACTAGGCTCCAAAAAGCTGGCTCATGCATCAAGGATGGATCCCACTGCCTGCACCCCCCCCCCCCAATAGTTCAAGCTAAAGAACTGTCTTACCTATCCAGAGGGCCTAGTCCAGTACCATGGGGGCTCCTCAGATATTGGTCTGACCATGATACTCTCGCACAGCTTTATTCTCTTTCCACCTCCCACCATCTCCTTCCTTTCTCCATCCTACTTCCATGACATGTGTATCATATACATGTAATTAATACTAAATATGTGAGGGGAAACAGGAGATATTGTCTTATTTCATTTAACACAATGAGCTACAGTTCCATCCATTTTCCTAAAACCCTGCTCTGTGTATGTCCCATCTCCTTTACCATTCACCTGTTGGAGAACATCTTAGCTGCTTCCATAACTTGACTGCTGTGACTAGTACCTCTATAAACATGGATATGCAAAAGTGCTTTCATGGTATGCTACTTAGAATCCTTCAGGTATATTATTATTTACAGTAAATGTAGGAGTAAGAAATGAATGCAATGAAAGGAAGAGAAAAAGAGAAAAAAATTAGATGGAAATTAAAATTTTTTTAAAAGGAAAAGAAGACAAATGTTCTGAAGGGGAAAAGAGCAAGAGATGAAAAGTGTGATGACTCAGTAATGAAAATGTTTGTACACAGAACCATATAACTGTAAGAAGTAGGATTAAAACAAAACCTTTCCAAAATTAAAGTCGAAACTCTACTAGTAGTACAGTAGCAAGTTGGGGACAAGGAACAAAATAAGGGGACAGAGTACTCTAGCGGTTTCAAACCATTTTGAAGACTCTTGTCTTTCCTTTGATTTAGACTGGAGTTGAGCCTGTGATGGCCACCTTCAGACAGCTCAGTGTGCTGTCTTTATCTTAATACTGTGTGTGTGTGTGTGTGTGTGTGTGTGTGTGTGTGTGTGTGTGTGTGTGTGTGTAGGTATGTTTTTTCTATGTATATAATTATGAACAAGAGATTTTTCTAGTCAAATTTTGCTTAGTGATTCCAAATTACTAAATTTACTTGTGACAAAAGTATTATTTGAGAATAAAATGGTATTAACTTTGCTAACATACTTTTGCATCTCACAAATGTGCATGTGGGAGCTATCTTTATTATTATTTTTTTAGTTCTCCAAAATCAAGCTCTAAGAAATGGGTTAAGTTTATAGAATTCAAATTGTATAAACTTGAGCAATGTCTCAGAGTACTTCCAGTCTTAGATGAGCAAACATCAGTAATTAAATCCACTGTGAGTTTAGTCTTCCAAGCAACTGAACCCAAAATACTATCAGATGAGACATTCTCATTCCTACACTCCTCAAACTGGCTCCCAAACATGGGATAAATGGTATTGCTTCAAATCTAGCCCCACCCCACCCCCAGCTACCGGAATCTTCTTAGCACTCTTTCAGCTGGAAAATTCTGAGAAACCTTGTGCAATCTATCTGTTAGCAAACACTGTCCTCAAATTCTGCAAGTTAGCAATAATTTAGTTGTATTGAGTGCTTTTACTTTCACTTTTCTTCTATATAAATGTCTTTGCTGAAGCACCTCTTACTTAGCTTCCTCAGCAGAAAGTATTTGCTAAAGCTCTGGACTACCCAGGAAATTAGAGAGGTAAAGTCCAGGTGCAGAAGGAATAAATCAGAGCATCCTGATTCAGGACCCAAGAAGCCAAGTGCTCTTAGCTTCCCCCTAAGCAGCTTTCTTCCCAAAGCAGGATTTCTGCTCTAGGTGAGTCAGGGGAGCAGGGTGGGAAGGCTTGCAGGACCCTACTGTTTACCTGTGCAATAGTCTCTCCACAGGAGGCTGCTGTGCTCTGGATGTGGGTCAGCAGTGCACTTAGAATCCCAGGTTTGCAGGGAGGAGGGAATGCATCCCTTCAGTGCCACTGTTAACCACTCTGCTCAATGGGCTCCAGCCAGTGCTATCCATAGAGAGCTGGGGACTGCAAGGTTCATCGTCCTTTACCTGGATGCATCTTAAATTATCTCTGCTGCCTAAAGATTCTCACACAAACTCACCCACATTGTTGCCTGTTTTTACACCTCTTAAAAAAACAAAGCCGATCAACTTGGAGCATGTAAAACCGACACTTGTTCCACTGATGACTCAGAAGATTATACAGTTTTTTGCAGACACTTTCCTGTGTCAATATTATTGATTTCCTCCCGTTTTATGGTGGCATAGAGTAGAAATAAAAACTATCAGGACTCGAGAGATGGCTCAGCAGTTAAGAGGACTTTCTGTTCCTTTAGAGGAACC